CCCACAGCCACACGAGAGCCAGGCGACAACAAAAGGTTTGCTCTGCAGCCTGTTGGGGACGTTGGGATCCGTAACCTACGCAGGCCTGGAGGCACCGGTCCCTGGTTGCCCCCACAGGATAGTTCCTTTACCTTCATTTTAGAAAAAAAATGTAATAAGCAATTCAGAGAGCATAGAGGCTTCGCAGATCTGTACTTGACCCTACAGAAATGGGATTTTACAGGCTCCCCACCGGGCCCAGGGCTCCCCGACCCAAGGGGCAGCGCCTGGTTGCTCAGCGCCCACAGCCCTGATGCCTTAAGGACACTGGGCACGGGGCACAGCAGCGGCTCCTGGCCTCTTGGGGATGGGTCTGGGGGGCCCCGTGCTCCAGAAGTGTGCATGGCACAAGGCAGCAGTGTGCACGGGGACATGGGGCCTCGAGGAAGGGGCACAAAGTACAGGCTCCCACTGCACACAAGGAAAGGCCCAGAGCAAATCAAGCTTTGCTCCCGTCCCCCTGTCCTGCAGTCAGTCCCACACCGTGCCCTCATCGCTCTTAAGGTCCCTGCTCCCCAGATCACAGAATCACAGAATTTCTAGGTTGGAAGAGACCTCAAGATCATCGAGTCCAACCTCTGACCTAACACTAACAGTCCCCACTAAACCAAATAAATGATTGTGGGGGAGAAAATCTCAACCTTACAAGTAACACAGAGCCCTGCAGACCAGGCTGGATGTCTCGCTCCCACAGGACCAGAAAACAGGATGCAGAAGGAGAACAACAACACAGCCTGACACAGCCCAACTCACGCCTTTGAAACAATTTGAGCCAAAACGAAAGGGGAGCGTGAGGGAGCGCCCCTCCATCCCGAGCCTGGCGGCGGCAGGCCCCGCACGCCTCATGGCCCCTCCAAACCCCAAGCGGCTCCAGGGCGCGTCGCCCAAGGTCTGGCTCCGGATCACCACGACGAGGCAGGAGGGATCTGTGCTCTGGTGCGCGTGCAGTCCTACGGCCTGCCAACACATTGTTTGAAATTAAAATGGAGATTATTTTAAGCACGTTACCCCAGGTTTTGCAACTTCTCGCCTGTTTCCATGGGGATGGGAGCCGTGCCGGCAGCTGCTGCAGGGCCCTTCAAACTCCTGCACATTTCTGGAGGACTACCAGGGAGAGAGCCAGGGCCGGCCCCCACACACCGCCCAGATGCTACGAGCCCTTGGGGCCCAGCGCATCCCTAAAGCTGAAGTACTCCAGCTTCAAAGGGAACGGCTGGGAACGTGCCTTCAAGACACTGAGCAGGTTTCTGCTCCCCCACAAAGACAGCTCGCAACACACAGCAGGCTCTGACGGGTGGCCCTGCGGGAAGAGGCTCACCACCAGCACAATGCTGGGCACCCCCAGCCCCCTGCAAATGCTACTGGGGTGCCCAGGGGCCCCGCAGCACAGCAGCTCCCTCCGTCCTGGGTGAGCTGCCCTGGCAGTGCCAGCCACACGCTGCAATGGCAGCACACACCACATCGCCTCCTTCCTTCTGCCTGCTCACCCCAAATCCCAGGTCAGGGCTGGCTCCCACCGGCACCTGAGCCAAAGCATTCTGAGCACAGTTTTTGTGAGGGAAACCCCAAACACTCACGGACACAGCACCTAAGGCAGCGAGCAGCCCTATGGCACGCACAGCTTGGAGTCAGACTGCTCGGCTGCGGGAGCTGTACAGCTGGGACCCTGCACCAAGAGCAGCTCTGTCGAGCAAGCAAGATTGAAGACAGGAGGCTGGACGGTGCGTCGAGTCCTCAGCACTTTGGGAGAGAGACAGACAAGGGATTGGCATACGCTGACTGAGACAAAACGCTAATCAGGACAAACACTAATTAGGCTGCCACACTACAGCCCCGTAAATCTGCTGGGAACCTGCAGTGTCACCAGCCAGGCAGAAGGCCCTGGGACCAGGCACCTCCTCAGAAGCGAGAGAAGAGCAGCTCGGCGGGTGGTACCAGATGGTTTTACATGCTGCCGTTCACATTTACACACGCTTTTTTAGGAAGCCACTTGGACTCTGGAGGAGCCATGACCAAAACGCAGCCCGCAGATATGTAGATAGGGGCACGCTGTGCCCCTCGCAGAGCTGTGGGCAGCACAACCTCCGAGTGCTCCTCGTGTTTCCTCTCCCTCAGCTTTTGCCTTTCCCAGTCTGAGCACATCTGCTGAACGTTTTCTAAAACGGAAAGGTTGAAACATTCCTGTTGGTTTCACAGGGACATTTTGTTCCCCGCTTGGTAAAGCAAACAAACAAACATACAAAACAAACAAACAAAACATTTGTTTGGGCTTTTCCCAAAGCAGAAAATCTTAACTGCCCACATTCCCTGACCAGCTAGTGAGCTTTCAGAAGGTTCTTATGGGTATAAAGAAACCCTAAAAAGCCCTTACAGACAAGGACCAGTGTTTCCTGATGCGCAACATGTGGCGATAACGACCTGCGCACAGACCATAAATCCCCAAGCCTGCTACAGTTGACTTCAGTTTACTGAGGCCACCGTAATGCCAGCACACGACAGCTTTGAGAGTCTTCAACCTTGTAGGCTTGTTCCAGCTCTTACTTCTTTTTTCCTTACCTGTTTTTCCTTTTACACTCATTAACCTTCTCTGTTCAGAATCCAGGCACAACCTACCTCGTCAAACGCTTGCTGTCAAAAAGGCACCGCTGCTGCCCAGCCTCTCTGGACGGCCAGGCTGGCGCACACACCCCAGCCGATGCAGTTTTAGCAGCTTCTGCACGTGCAAAGCTGTCTGTGTAAACAAAAGCTCCTGAGTCAACATTCACAAAGGGGACGGGACCGTTCTCTGCAGGTACCACTGCTTTCTGGAAGCAAACAAAACACACCAACACTCCCCTCTCAGGGTCAGCTTTCCAATTACTTGAACCCCGGCTCTGAAACACTCGGAAACATTTCAAAGATTTTATCAGCCACCACGGAACAGCAAAACGCACGTGCTGCTGCCAAGCACCACACCAAGAACACGAGTGGCACAAGAGGTGCCAAGGCCCTGCTTCCAGGACAGCTCTGATGAGCCGTGACAGGGGCTGGCGGTGGCCACCCCAGCCCGTACCTGGGCGCAGGGCTAGCAGCAGCCGGCCGGAGTGGGGCAGGACGGGGCACAGCAGCCACGGTGGGACAGGAGGTGGGAGCAGGGTGGCCGCGTGGGGCTGCACACCCCTCAGAAGCAGAGAGGGCTGAGCACGGGTTACACCGACACCATGCTTGGAGGTGGTTTGATCCTCGCGAAAACAGCGGGGTCTGTTCTGGTATGAACGCAGCACGGCGCTGAAAAAGCTGGAGGGGGCCAAGAGACCCACATGAGAGGCGCAGGAAGATGAAGTTTTCCTTCAGTCACAGCCTCAGTGCTCACTGCCACAGCCCACCACGGGCTCAGCAGACGGCTGCGGTCACAGCTGGCGTTCAGCAAGGCAGAAATACAGCAGCAGGCCCGTCGGTTTATCAGGGTCAGATCCAGCAGCAGGGAGCAGCCCAGGCTGCAGAGAAGGTGGTGTTGCTGAAGCTGAGGACAAACTCATTACTGCCCAGCCCACAAAACCCCACCGCACCCTGGTTCGACCACGTCTACTTGGCCAAAAGCCTTGGTCATGTAAGTCTTGAAACCCGTCCTAGGGACATCAGGCAACACCACGCTGCGGGGTTGCTGCCTTAGAAATGTCGCATCTGTAGCTAGCGCTCTCTGAGGGCAAGTTCTGGACCTCACGTTCGTACACGTTAGAATAAATGTTAGCCTTCCATTTATGTACAGCCTTTCATAACCAAAAGGGATTAACCACTGCATTTAGGCAGCCAGGCTCATCCTTGTGCATGCCTCACTGGGAGCCTACGGGTAAAATTTCACGTGCTCATCTATTTTTAATTTTTTATCATTATTATTTTACTTGAAATTGCCAGCACTAGTAATTCTCCCGCATGCTGTCACACACCAGGCGAAAGCACTAACTGGCTGCTTTATTTAAGGAAGTTATCGGAATGTCTTAAGGGATCTCCATAGCAACCCTGCTGTGCCAGTAAATAGGAGCTCGCCAGCACAACACCGCCTGCTCCCAGCACACACCAGCCAGCCGTGACAAAAGGGCAGGCGATACTCAGCAAGTAACGTCCTGGGAAGTCTCCGCTACTGCTGAAGCGCTGCTGAAGCACACCTTACTAGGTGGCACCGGGGTTTTGCCGATGCCCACGCAGCTGCAGCAGTCAGCATCTCCACACTGGCCGTACACAGGCTCGGTTCAAATCGTGGTGCCTTCCAGATCACGCAGCAAAGCTCCAATGTCAGCGCTGCCCCGCAGCGTGCTTGCTGCTCCCGTGCACGCCGCATCCAGATGAGGTTTTTCACCGGGCACACACAGCCAGGTGCAGCCCGGCAGTCCCACGGCCGGTGGGCACAGAGGGCTTTAAAGGACTCTGCGGTGCTCCTCCCAAGGGGGATTTTGCTCGGCGCTCCCTGGGCAGCTCGGTGCCCGAACTGGCAGCTCCTCCCTGCTTTAGTAACAGCCCGGAGATGCGAGGGTCGGGAAGGCAGCGTGCATTGCCCTAACCAGTACCCAGCCGTGCGGGGGGCAGCGGGGGCCGCCCAGCCCGGACACGACGCCCGGCCCCCAGCTCCCGGCGTGCCCCCGCCACCCCCCCGGGGAGCACCGGGGGCTGGGGGCACCCAGGGGAGCGGGCTCCCCGCCGCCTGCCTGGCGCCTCTCCCGGCTCCGGCGCCCCGTACGGAGCAGCACGGCGCCTGGGGAGCCCGGCACGGCCCGGCACGGGACGGGGGCACTTCGCACAACTTGCGCGGCCGGCGGCACCCGGCCTGGCGCTCCGCCGGTGCCCCCGCGCGGCTCGGCACGGCTCGGCTCGGCACAGCACGGCACGGCTCGGTTCAGCACGGCTCGGCACGGCTCGGCTCGGCACGGCTCGCTGCCCCCCGATCCCCCCCCGTCCCCCGCGGGGCTCAACAGGTGCGCACTCACCGTCCTCCCTCTCGTCGAACACGGGTCTCTTGGAGGACGAGGCGCTCGCTCCCATCCTCTTCTTCCACTTGCCCCAGTGAAACATCGGGGCGAGCCGCCGGGCATGCCCCAGGCGCCGGGCCCCGCCGGCTCCCGCGGCCGGGACGAGCCCCCCGCTGCCCTCAGGCGCCCCGCGCCCCTCCGCCGCCGCCGCCGCCTCCCCCCCGCATGGCAGCGCCCGGCGCCGCCGCCGCCGCCCCCCGCGCCGCGCCCGCTGCTCCTGCCCGCGGCGCTGCCGCAGCGCGGCGGAGGGAGGCGGCAGCGGGGCCGCGCCGGGCGGAGCGGGGCCGGGGGGCGGGGGCGGCGGCGGGGCGGGACGGGACGGGGCGGGCACGGACGGGGCGCAGCGCCCCCGGCGGCCGCGGGGACCGGCCCCGCTCCCAGCCCCTGGCCCTAGCGCACAGCTCGGCCCTAGCCCAGCTCGCCCCGCAGCCGCCTCTCCCTGCCCAACCCTCAGCCCACCGGCCCTCGCTGCCACTGCTCAGCCTCCCCGACTCGCCCCGGTCCTACAAGAGGCAGGCACTCAGGGGCTGTTCCCCCAGCAGCGAGCCCCGAGGGCCTCTGTCATGCTTAGTGACACACGAGCCAGCAGGAGGGATGCGTGTCCCGCTCGCACTGCCACAAAGCGTTTGCCAGCACACACATACCGAGGCGTGCAGCTGTTCTGTGCTGCTGCACGAAGCCCTGTGCACGAGGAGGACAGGCTCCGGCCCAGCCTCTTGCTGCAGTTTTGTTCCGAGCAGCGCTGTGTGATGGACCAGCCGCGCTGCCTACAGAACCAGCGCCTCCAGCTCGCCAGCTCTGGACATCTCCTGCCCTTCTGTCGCGATACAGCTCAGCTGCTGCAGAGCTCCTCAGGAAAACACTTTTTTTCTCAAGCTTTCACAGGCTTCGCAGGACATGGAGCCGTAACACGCTCATGATGCCATGTCTTCATGGGCTGTTGGACAGAAATGTCTCCCGGAGCGTCCAATTCAATGCACTGCTCAGAAACTACTGGTGGTCACAAACCACATCAGACATGTCCAGCCAAGTGGCAGCTCTTCGGCCCTTACATGGTGTCTGTTATCACAGCAGTACTTTCAGAATTTCGGAGGCGATGCTTTGCAACTCTTAATTTAACATGTATGCTGTTTTCTTCTGCGGCATGCTTTGAAATGGATAGGTTAGTTAATGCACTCTTTATAGGAGATTTGCTAAGAGTTAGTCATTATTTGCAGAGCCTGGAAGGTGTAAGAGGATTACAACTGAAGGGTGTAATTTAAGAACAGTTTTCCAAAGGCAGAGAATAGTTCTTAAATTATATTTATTTGAGAAATCAGAAAGAATAGGTCTCAAATAAAGAGATGGAACACCTCAATACCAGATGGCAATTTTTGCTTTGTCTAGGGATCATTTTGTTTTTCAATATATTGCAGATGTCTGAGCCATCAGCTTTCACTCCCTCTTTTCTCTTTCCGTTCTGTAGGAAAAGCCTGAAGACTGCCATGCAATGGCCTCAGTCTGTGTGCCAGCCAGTCGTCACTTCTCTCTTTCTCCACTAAGGCTTGGACAATCAAACCACAGCCCGGAATCACAGACTTTTTCTGAGAAGTTTGCAGGATTTACTACTGTAGGATGAAAGAGTGGTAAATACAGAGTTGGTTGTTCAAATTCTGGGGGAAAGTTTCCTTCCACCAGATTTCTCGATTTCTTTACCTAAGAAACCAAAGAAGGTGCAGCAAGGGTTTTTTTATTGGTTTTATTGTTTGTTAAGGTTGGTTTCGGTGCTGTTCAGAGAACAGGTGAATTAGTGCTGCTCAAAGCTCTGTATAGGGATACGGGCTACTTAAAATCAGGTCCTCTTGCTGACTCCTGCTTTCTAGGAACCCAGCCACAGGCACGCATATATGTCCCAACAAACACTGGGAAACCCAAGGAAAATTACCATCTAGTTTTCATCCTCACAATGAGATCTGCCTGTTCATGAGACACACCCATTGCATAGCCAAGAAAATCAGGACGTTAGTGGTGTTTTTTTAAAGGAACAAGCAGCAGACGTGTAACACCACCCAGAATTACGGAGGTTTTTCTCTATTCACAGCAAAAGAGCAGGCGCAGCACTGACTGCTGCCACGAACTGGGTGCCATGCTCACTGCTCCGCCAGAAGGGCCACTGGCTTCTCACTGGGGCTCTGCCTGTAGCGGATGCCCAGGTCCAAATCCTAAGCCCTGTTTTTAACTAAATGATAATACTGAAATTGTCAGGGAGAAAGTTATCTTGAACAGAAAACGGGGTGAGGTTTATTGTGATTTGAATCGGGCAGCTCTGCTCATGTGCACGTTCATTGGAACTTTGCCCTTTGGTTTGGGAGAGGATATTCTTGTTCTAAATACCCAGCCTGGTATTCGGAGACTGTTGGGCCATGCCGGCATCATTTGAAATGTGCCCATTAAAGATCATAAAACAGGTAAGAGAAAAAGAGCTTAGAAAAGTTCCTTCAGCCTTCAAGACATGGCAGAGAACCTGGGCCACTAGCAATGGCATTTGGCTGTGGCTGGTAATGTTTTGTCTAAATCGCTCGTCATGTCCCAGTGTCAGAAACAGCATTTTTGCTTCTGGTCTTAAGTCATAGCTCAGGACATCTGAATGATGAAACAGAGACTGTGTTGGAGGGGAAATGGGAGACATGAACATTGACTTTGGAGAATTCATGGAAGGAAAGCGCCACTTGCTGACATTGACAGGGTGCTCGTTACACGGCCTGAGTCGTGTAGTGGTGGTCCTGCCTTTGAGCACTGCTGCCATCGCTGTTCACCTCAATGGGAAGAGTGAGATCCATGTTTAGTTCACAAATATTTAGCATAAATGGGGTTCCATAATGCTTTCCATTTTCAGTATTTTAACACCACTGAAAATAAATTCCATTTGTTTAGAACTCCAACTCTTCTTGCACTCCTGAATAATTCAGACAGTGCTCTATTGTTGTCTCCTCCTCTGTACCAAAAGAAATGGAGGGAAGGATCAGATGCTCACTGTCTCGGATCAGTTTCCCTATTCATGAACAGAGAATGCTGGATCATGGTTGCCTGTGCACATTATTCACGATGGAGCAAAATTAGTGCCACAAAAGCCAAATGTAGTCCTTCTGCTTCCTCTCAGACAACAGTGTTTGCTCTTACCTACAGAGCAAGTGTCTTGGAGGTTCAAACATCCAGCTCGTCATTATTTCTGCAGCAGAATTGTATTCATTTTCTGTCTGTAAAACCCGAGAACAGGGCTCCCTTTCTGTTCTGGGCACACGTGTCTAATACCACTATTCAACACCAGCACAGTAACACGCAGGGAAAGACGTTTGTCCCCTCAGCGAACAACTGCACTTCAAAACAGGAGTATCAGCAGACCGCCAACCACAGCGACACCATTACACTAATCTTATGAAAATGTGTATTCAGTAATGGATACTAATCCTACAGGGGAAAAAGGTAAAACACATAAACTGCTCCGTAGTGGTCCAATATAGGGAAGGGAAACAGAGCAAAGTCTGCCTTCTAGGTATCCTGGTCTCCAGGGAAACAGAAATTCACTTCGTCTCTGAATGAGGAACTTTAATAAAAAGCTAACTTTTACCATCAGTTATTCCACAAGACATCTTGGAATATAATTCTAACTATATCTCTAAGAGGAAAAATTTGCAGCCTGGGTGACAAAGGGTTATTAGAAACAGATTGTTCTTGAAATCACCAAGAATGTTTTGAAATTACTTCTTTCTTAATTTTTCCTCTTCCTGTTTTCTATTCTTTTTGTTTTATATTTTACTCAGCGACAGGCATTTAATGAGTGAAAGTTTTGAGGATACTTTATGCACGTCTCTTTGTCCTTGGAACCCATTAACATGCCACAAATCTGATGATTTTCTTAAATGAGAGAACAAAGGAGAGCTGGGACTTCTCCAGGCTCTGTTCTTCCTGGAGAAAGCAGGAGAGAAACCTTAAGCAGCCCAGAACTGCTGCAGCCAGCGATGTTCAGCAGCATGTACAAAGCGCACCCAGCCCCCTTGAAGGTTGCTAGCTAATGCCAGATCTTGCAAAAGGAGAGCAACTGCCCTGGAAGAGTTTGTCTTCTCAAATTTGTGTTAACTTCTGCATATTCCCTTTTTTTATCACTGATTTCAGAGGTTAGAATATTCTTGCACTTCACCAGCCACGAAACCATTCCTGCTTCATGGAATTGCACCTGCTGAGCCCAACTCATCAGGTTTGCATACATTCAGTACCACCTTTGTTGTGTCTCGTCAAAAGCTCACAGACGTGCACCAGGAAAAGCCTATATGCATTCATTTAGCTGGGAAACGTGATACCTGTTCTGCTCTAGGCCAGGCCAAACAAACCCCTTATGAAATTCCAGGATTACACTTTTAGTCAAAGGATTTGTATCAAAAATCATCATCCAATCATTCTCAAATGCATGAGCTCTGGAAGTGAATGAGTATCCTTTGGGGTGACTGATTGTTCTCATTTCCAAGCACTGTGAGCTGCATATTTTACATCGTGCCAAAATTAGCATGAGGCAAACTGAAGATAATATTTTATTTTTTGTTTCTTAATCTCACACCTCAATTAGCTGCATGGATCCTGCAGTTTACCTCTTTATGTTATTCTCTGCTGGTAGCTCTAAGTTACAGCTCCCTTTCTGTCTTTTTGCTGGCTGCATGGAGCTGTGATTGTTTCCTTCTTTCAGCAGTTCAAATCAGGATCAACTTCCCTAGTATCAGTGAATTTATCCTGAATAAAACCATTGTAAATAAAAATAGAAACGCCTGAAGTATCGTTAGATTCTTTACGGTTATCTGTTCTCAGTGAGCTGATGAACATTTTGAAACCAAAACGCTACCAATTTTCATGAAACTGAAAAAGAGGCAAATATTATAAGAATTGAGGCATAGAAACAAGGGGCCACCATAGGCTGACATTACACTCCTATTAAAAGCCCCTACTGATTATAGTGGCGAGAACTGCAATGTGGTTAGGATGATGAATGGTCTATTACTATGATTCTTAACATTCACAGGGCTTCCTCACCAAGAAAGCCTACTGAGAAAAAAAGCTATGTTTATTCTGAAAAGATTCCCTGAAAGAACACATAATTCTTTCAATAAACATTACATAGAGGGGAAATTTCACACATTTTCTCATCATTAGCATTTCTGTAAATAGTACCAATTCTGGTTTTAAAGATGCTAACAGTAATCACCAATCCAGCTGTTTCAAAGTCCTTCAAAGTCACTCCAGTTAACTAATAATGTTCTCCTCTTAGGATCACCTGCAGAGGCCTGCATTAAGCGGGAGCAGGCACCACCAGCGGTGATGAAGCCTTAAAACTAAGATCTCGTTCAGACCTGGTGGAAAAAGGGTTACACATTTCATTGCCAGTGCGGGTCTCCTGCTGGTTCCACAGGTGCAGGCTGTAGTGCAGATGGATTACATGCATTTTACCAGCAGGTGTTCAAACCCTACAGAGTGATAAAAGTGCCTGCCTTCTTCCCAACTAAACTCCTTCCCTTGAGCTGGTGAGGTAGCTGTGTGGTAGTTCAATTGCTTATTTTGTTTTTCTCTTTTACAGCCTGAAAGGGGTGTTCTGTTTAGTTTTCTGTATAGTATAACGGCTTCTCTTGCCTAACTCTGCTTTCTCCTGTGAGAGAGGGAGGAATTCATTTCTGGAACTGTCTGAACAATTCAGCTCTTCAAATTTTTAATGACTTCTAACTTTTTTCCCCTTCTTTGTTTCCTTTCATTTATGTGTCTGCTCCCTTTCTGCTTATCCATTTAAGTTAATCAATGTTTCACTAAGAAATCAAGAGCATGTGTTGATATTCTAATAAGACACTTGTAGAAATCACTCATCTATTTTCATTTACTGGAATATTAGGAACTGATAGAAAGTAATGACTTCTTTTGTATCTTTCAACAGCTCTTTAGAAAAATGGGGGGAAAAAAAGCTTCCTTTTAGACTTAGTTGAAGTCAGATGCAGATGAAACTTAAGTAATGTAGGTGCCTACCAATCTGAAGAAATAGCTGAGCGGGGGAATGCTTTTCTCTGAAATTTTGTCACTTCTATGTTGAACTCTGTTGAGGTCTCTTCCAACCTAGAAATTCTGTGATTATGTAACTCTGTAAAATAATGCCGGGGGCAGTATCCTTAAAATCCATAATCAAACAACTAATCTGCATGAGGATTTATCTGACACCATTTATTCTGTTAGCTGCATCTCTGTGGCACAGTGGAGAAGTCTTGTTACATATGATCTACATATAGAACCACATTAAAGGACTGTGGGCACCCCAGTTCTACTTCACAGCGCCCCAGGGAGGCTCTCCTACACGTGCAGAGGGGCCTGCCCAGGCTCATAGGAGACAGCTAGCGATGCTGGTGCCAGGGCATTGCGTGGTGATGCATGGGGGCTCCCATCTGTTCCACATGTACTGATGCTCTTGAAGTGCAGTATTTCTGTGTCAGCACTAGGGAGGAAGGAGGGCTGTGATTCAGAGTCCACCTGAGAATATCTGACTCTGAGCTCTCTCTATGAAGACTCAACAGCTTAGGTCCTGACAAGAGAACGGTGCCAAAGCCTGGTCTTCCCAGAGACCGGCATTTTCTGAAGACAGAGCTTGTGATTCCATCAAATGAAATGTGTAACGCTTCTCTTCTTGCCCAGCAAAACAGCGGAGCCTAAAAGTAAAGGCTAGCACAATTTCAGAGATGACCTGACATTCATTTCAGTCTGTTGCAAGTTATGTTAAGTCTCTGCAGCTGAAGGATTAAAAAACACTCCCCAGCAACTGTGGGAAGTTCTTTCAATGACCCAGCACGTTCTCTGTTTTGTTAGAAGACTGCTTTTCTGGATAGAAGAGCAGGCCTACAGCTAACCCACTCAAGCTCGTTGTTTTCACTGTTCTTCCCTGTTCTGACATCGCTTCCCTGTGAAGTGCAATCGCTAGGATGACTGTTCCAGATGCAGACCTGCCCCAGTATGCTGGGTCAAGATCCCCTCAAGGCTAGACAAGGTTGTTATGACAGCCTGCCCTTGAGAGATTTCTATCTGCAGAGCAATTTTATGGTATTTTTGTACATTCACTTTGTTTTGATTTTGTTTCCAGGAGAGAATTCCTTTTTTTTTTTTTAAAAAAAACATCCTTAGTTATACCTCAAGATCAGGAAAAAAAAGCATACAGTTTGTTGCTTGTTTGCCATCTCGCATGCAAACTTTTTGTTGTTTAAGTTTTAGTCATAGTTCAACTCAATTTGAAGGAGCACAGAAATTCCTCTTCTAACATGATTCAGCTAAGTTGAGTAGCTTTCTAGATTCGCTTTCTCTGCCTGAAATGCTCACAAAAACATTTGCTGATTACTGTTGTGCTAAAGGATTCTAAAGAAGTTTTGATCTCAATGTCCAGCTGAAAAAAACAACACTGCTTAAATTAATGTCGTTAGTTTTAATCCTAATGTGTTTCTTACGTAATCTTAAAATTATCCTAAAATACTTTGGGTTTTACATAAATGCAATTCAGTACTTCTTTCAGTACAGTGTTTCCATTGATTCCATTTTAATGTTCATAAGTTTTGCCCTCTGGTTTACAAATATTGCTCATAATTAGAATTTAATCACCTAAGTAGCCTCAAAGAATATCTGTTCCAGGAACAGCGTAATGAAATTACCAATCATACCTTTTTTCTTGAAGTCAGCAGTAATAACACAATTAGTAGAATCTGTATTTTCGAGGTGGAGATAAATTCAGGCTGAGCGATACGTGCCTTGTCATCTTCAGCCCAGGTACCACTATGTTTTCCAGAGGCTTGTGGCCCTGCAACAAAACAGATGTGGAGGTTAAGGCCTGTTTAGTTCCAAAGGTAAGCAAACTGTTCCTGTGAAAATGAGATTATGTTGTTTCGCAGTTATCCACCAGACTATTCCTTCAGATTTCCAATGTTTCCTACAAAATGGAAGTTTTTAATGTAGTCTTTGGGAGTCAGAAGCTTCTGAGCAACAGGATTGATGGTTCAAGTGAGTGCAGGTAAGAACGCTTCTAAACTTTTTTTTAGCAGAATCAAAGCTTTGTATTATATTAATGCTTGAGCTATTTCAGCCTCTGGCTGTTTGTTTCCAGGCACTGTGTAGGACCTAACAAGCAATCCACACTGAAATGTACACGCCTGCCCCAGGATGTTAGCGCTGGGGCTGTTTGGCCGTGTGAAGGTTTCTGCAGTTGGATGTTTCCTGCCGGCTGCCAAGCCCTGTGCACGCGGTGTTCGGCCTGTAACGGAGTCCTGTCGGTGTTACTGTACAAGTGAAATGCTGCAAGGAAAGGGGCTCTGAGGGAAGCCCCGTGAGATACCTGGAGAACCGGTGGTGCTGAACGGGACACCGGTAGCCTTGCTCCCCAGGGAGTTTGTCATCAAGTAAAAATAATCTCCCTCACTGAACGTGGCTTGTATTTCTGGTGATGAGCGCTGGCAGCAGCGTGGTAACGCTGCCATCCCACCTGCTGTCATTCCTGCAGTAGGTTCAGGCCTGTGAAGACCTCCGGAGCACGCTGGTACCGGGCGTTATGGCCCCGGCTGTGGGGCCGTTGCCGGGGCAGCGCTGCGGGGGTGCCTGGTCCGCTGCTAGGCCTCGGTGTGGGGCCCACGGCTGGAGGGCTCAGGGAAAGTGTGGGTGACGCTGCAGCACCCGTTAAACCCGTTGGAAATTAACGAGATTTTAAATAAAGGCAGTTCTCGTGCTGTCTGCGTGGCAGTGTGCCACAGCTGGGCAGGGCGCAGGCTTTGGAGGGGCCCCGAGCGCCCTCGGGTCTGGCTGGGGGAGGTAAGGGAACTGCTCCCCGCCACCCCGAGAGGGTGGCCTGGTGGATGTACATACCCCTTATAACATACACGTGTACGTTATAAAGTTATATCTATGTGTACACACACACAGTGTGCCTTCTGTGTCACACTACGTTCCTAACACCGGGGACAATCAGAAAATAACAGAACTGAGAAGCTCGCTTTGTAGGCGTTCTGTTTCCAAAATATTGTGTGGTTTTTCTCAGGTCGTGACCTGCCTTCAGTTGATCTGTCTGAATTACTGAGCCCGTGTTTTTGGCTTGCAGACAAATGGATGACAGCTCTTACAAAGGGCTTAATGGCAGTGGTGATAACTCTGGAGATGAGTATCGCAAACAGAGCTCATCTGGCTCCAATTCATCAGAAGAGATCAGGAAGGCCATTGAAGAGTGCATGTCATCAGCTTCAAGTACCCTTGATGTTAGCAGAAAAAATATTAAGCATCTTACCGAGGAAATATATAAACTGCCTGATGTAAAGGTGTGTGTGCTGTTGTCCTTTAATACCTTTGGCATGAATGTAGCACAAGGCAGTAAAGGGTTGTGGCTTTGCCAGATGAATGGGAAAACTACAGATTCTTAGATACAATCTTTAATACGTGTTGTGTTTTGTTCTTAAGGTCCTTAAATCATCTGTGTAACTTAGAATCATGTATCCCTTAATTTCCTTTAACTGTTCTTTTTGTAAAAGTGTAGAGCAGTTTACAGTTTCCATGTTCAACACTGTGTGCCAAGGAACAGTTCCTCTATTTCTGGATTTAACACATGTTTATGTTTTTTCTCTATTAGCACTTTCATCTGGAGGGAAATGCCATATCGATGATTCCTGAGGATTTATTTCAAAAGCTGCCACATCTTGTTTGGCTGGATCTCCGGTTTAACAAGATTACAGCTCTTCCCCCTGGAATTGGTTACCACAGGTAAGACCATTGGTCATACAGGCAATTTAATAAAAAATGTATTTTTCTTCTATTTGTCCTACTGCAATTTCATTGTAACAGTCCAACTTTTACATGGTTTTGTTTGGCATTAATCTTGGTGCAGGAGAACACTATATAAGCTTATTTTTGTTTACTAAAACACAGATGAAGTGAGAGGTCCAATTAATATTATGTTAGTGAATTTCTAAACACTTAACTTCAGAAATTTACATCCTGTTAGTATTTTTCTCCCAAGACAGAGTAAAGCTTACTGACTGTAGCTGACTAACATTAGTGCCGCATGTGAGGTGAAAACATGGACACATAGATACAAACATCACTTCTCTTGTAAATGGACACATAGATACAAACATCACTTCTCTTGTAAATGATAATGAGGGACAGTTTAGTCAAAGAACGTTATCCATTAATCTGTTTTTGCTAGTCATCTGACATGGTATTTAACTGTTGGAAGGATTGCTTAGCTGTCACTGATTTATCTGGGGTGGCAAAGAAGGGTGTCCACAATGTTGCTGTGACCCTGAACAATCCACTTGCTCTCATGTTGCTGAGATCACCAAAGCTAATTTCTCACCAGTTTTTCAATGTGCTTGGACAATCCTTACTTCTCAGCTGAAGTGGAAGAGCACAAACACAATCTATAGTAATTATTGGGAACAAAGGAATGATGTGTGCCCCAAGGAAAAGAAACTGACACAGGAATGCGTGCACTTCTGGTTCTAAAAGAAACTTTTCTGTGAAGAGTAGTAAGGAAAAGAAGACAACCCTTGAATGGTATATGCCATGGAATTTTCCAGAATTAAAAATGTGTGGCATTGAAATAAGATGCTTAAGGTTATTTTAAGGTCAGTTGTTTGGGAATGATTATATATTCAACTCCTGATTAGAGAAATACAGTAAACGAAGGCTATGCCTCTAAAAATAGCTGAAAAATGCCGAGTCTAATGTCTTCATCTTTTAAATAGCTTTAATAAATTATTCTTAAAATGGATGGGAGTGATGTTATAGCTTGTGAATTATATGGTCATCATTGTACAACTGGTTGAAACCCTGTGAGACTAAGGTATTCACTACGTGTCTTCCTAGAAGATACCATGCCAGCCATTTGTCCCACCGTGTGATATACTTGTTTGTATTTTTTCACAGACTTGAACAGCTCAGATTTAGGAAATGCTTATTAGAAATATTCACTAAATATTACTTGAATTCCTCAATATCATCACTTCATTTCATTGTTATTAGTTGCTGGAGTGTAAAAGTGCGTTTTACCTGGTATACAGCAATGCCTAAATTATAACGAATTCGGGGCTTGAAGTGGGGAGTCCCTTGCTGCTTCCAAGTTTGTTTTAAGCTGAACTGGATGTTTTGCTTTACAAATATGAATATGGTGCTTGCATTTTTCTGACTGAATTGAAATGTCTTAAAATATTGCCACAAATGTTAATCCAGTGTTGAGCAGCTGCCAAAATGTTTGTTTTGTTTTCTCTTTACTAGAGGTAAAGAAATATTATGACAATCTACCAAGCTTTCTTCTTGATTTTGTTGAATTTTAACAGTAAATAAGTCAAATTGCAGCACTGATAAACAAAACACATTAACTTTCCTAGTAGGATGATGCTTCATTTATGGCATGGACAGTGCTTTGTCTATAGAATATCACTTGATCTGATACATTGCCGGATATTAAACTTAAAAACTACTGAAAAAAAATCTTATTAAAATAACAAACTGAAGCAGTCAAAATTAGGAAATTCTTACTGCTTTTTTCTAGTAGTCTCCATTTCATAGCTGCTTTAATGTCAGTACCTGTATGCTACAAGGGGAAAACGAGACAACCTCCCTGCTTTTGGACAAAATGTCCACCCTATCCTCAGCGCTTGGTAGCTCAAAAGTTCACATCAGAGACGCTCTATATAGCAGTGCATGCAGCAATTCTGGACACTTCACTTACTAAACAATATCAATTGTTTTCCAAGCACAGGCAAACTGATAGTTTTTCAAAAGCTTTGGGTTTGTCTATATGTTAGAAGACTTCCAAAATGTCATGTGTGACATAAACCCCATAAATGTTTGTATTTGAGATGAATGCCTGACCCATGCCAAACTTCTAGGCTGCTTCCAAGAATAAGAAAACGAGCTTTTAAAAAATAAAAATAGTTTATGAAATTAAATACAAATAGGGCATATTTCTTTCTAATATCATTATCAAAAATGGCTGAACAGTTTTAGCTCAAATGTAGCCTGAGGAATGTACTCAACAAAGCAAACAGTTGCAGCTCAGCAAAATCATAAACAACTGAAAATGATGAGTTTATAATTGGAACAGTCAGTATCAGAGTTTAAAGTGATAAGCTTTGCAAAGAAAGATCAAATACTAAATACTGAAGGAGTACATAGTAATTCATGGGCATAAAAGCAAACTTCAGATTGACATACCAGAAAGCTTTGGGGGTATGTCATTTTTCAGCACTGATGTTTGCAATGGAGAGCCATGGATTTGCCTTCTGGTTCCCTTCTGTAGTACAAAACAAGCAAGAAGAAAATTAAGGAGGAAAAATATTCTCATGTTTCTGCTTAATTAAATGAACTTTGCTTTTACCATCACAACTCTTTTCTGTTTTATTGCAAAGGCAATTGAAAACTCTGCTTTTAGAAAGGAATCCTATAAAAGAGCTGCCCACAGAGCTTGGTAAGTACCCACTGATGTCATAGACGCTCGATTCTGTAGTTAGACTTTAGAATACTTTGATGGGTATCTAAAGAATGATGTTGCAAACATGGGGGTGGGGAGGGAATTAGTTTTGTTAGAGCACACATAACAATTCTCCTCACTGAGAAGGAAAAAATGTAATCAGATGTCTAGGATTTTGGTCAAAAATGGTTAATATTGTTTCTCTGAGTAAAGCTGAAGCAAAAAAGAAACATGTTTCAGAACTCTCTGAAATCTTGGGGTGTTCTCACAGTCAGACATTTCTAAATGCAATTAGAGTTGAGAACTTCTGCAGCAGCTTTTTACAGTTTCAAACTTTAAAGACATCTCTAGCATTATAACTCCTCTTGCGCTAGCAGTTACTACTTGGGAATCACAAGTATTTCCAAATCAAACGCTCCTAAGGAACACTGAGCAGGTTGTGCAGGTTCCTGGGTTGGCCTGAGGCTGCCCCTGGTGAGCTGGAGCTGAGAATGGAGACTTCTGAGGAGGGGTCCCTATTCCTCGTCCTGCCCCTGCAGGGCGCAGAGCCCAGCACCCCTGGGACTGTCAGTCCTCACAGCAGAAGTCCTGACTTTTTGTTGCTCAGCACTGTTTGAAGTTGTCTGAGCTTTAAGACTGCTGTTGTACTTCAAAGACTAACCTCCAAAGCTACACCTTGATACTGGGCTTGTCACCAAACAACCTGGCATGATCTCAAGCTGGCCACACAACCAGGCCCAACTTCCTTCTGCTTACAGAGCTGATGTTAGGCTGCCCTTTGCCAAGGTGGAGCTGAGCGCTGCTCGCTGTCACATACATCCTCACAGCTGTTTAAGATCAGCCACGTTGGCTCCTGTGCTTCACTAGACTCCGTTGTTCATGTTGAGTTCCCTGTACTCTCTCCACGAGGTATCCTGCCTGTCTGAGGTGACATCCCTGCTAGCAATCAGGACGTTCCCAGGTCTGTTCCCACCTGCTGGGGGCAGCTGGCATGAAGTGACCTGTTCCTACATAACCACACTGCCCCAAACAGTATGCAGCACCCCCTGGGTTGGAGGTCTGCGGCTTCAGAGCTCCTGGGCCGCCTGCAGGCAGTGACAGGGAGAGAGATGGCTTTGTTATTCGTATTAAATGCTATGAAAGTATGTTCCCTTCCTGCTCTTTGGGCAGTGCGTTAAGAAAACGAGCAGGTGCAGCAGAAAACACCCCTTCCTCACAGCTGTTCTGGGTTCAAGCAGTGTACCTTTGCTAAGATTTTGGCAGAAGTATTGCTGGTACAATGCTGATGCTTTGGCTTTCCGTGTAGCAGTTACACTGGGGGACTCCTGCCCCGTGCAGGGTACGTGCATCTCTCCTGTTCTCACTGGCTGAGCAACTGAGGGGTACCAAAAAGGATGCCAGCCTTCCTGCTGGGTTTGAGGTCTTTGTTCAAGCCACAGCAATTGGAAGAGAGCACTGCAGGTTTTTTCAGGGCAGGATTTGTTGGGCAGCAGTGAAGCAGTGACAGATGGCTGGAGGCATTCCTAGAGGCTGGCTGCAGCCAGGCCTCCCCAAGCTGTGTGCTCATTAGCAGGCAGCGCAGTGACACCCCGACTGTAGGAGTGGCCCAAGCCATGCCGCTCTGCTCTGCCAGTTCGGATAGCACAACTTCGGCATCGTTTGCTTAATCACTTGCCCACGTCCACGTCAGGATTTCTGAGTCGCGAGGATCTTGGATGCAGCTGGCAGGAATGTTGTGCTGGGGTGATGCTGCCCTGCCATATGCCTTGCTTTGCATGAGCCGTCAGTTCCCTTGGCAAAGGCTGTGTGTCCGTGGCATTGCCACCTACAGGGTAGTGTTTAGACACAGATAGATACATACGAGATGTGCACAGCTATGCCTCCTCCAGCTCCACAGCAGCAGAGCTGCTTCAGTCTCGACTCTTTACATAGCGGACAGCGTGAGACTGGGACTGGCACAGGCACAGTGGTTTGAACCTTAGCTAAAGGAGGGTGGAGGTAATTCAAGGATTTGGCTTAATCCAGGTTACTGAAGTCTTTTTCTTTCCCTGCGGTGGAGCTGTGCTTCTCAGAAGTCCCCTGCGTGTCCTGGGCAGCTGGCATAGCAGGCTTCCTCTCCACAGTGATGGGGACATCAGACCAGTAAGCAGTCCATCTGAAAGGCTGGGAGGAAAACCTGGGAATTGTGCCTGTGACAATGTGAGTCGCTGTCAAAACCTAGTGTATTTTTACAAAACACTCCTGTTTTGACAAGACAGCTTTTTCTTACAATATCATGTTTCATAAGCTAATTCCCAGCCCACTCTTCCTCCTACCCTTCCCTATTGCTCTCTTGTCTGTACACTTGCCATCCTAACCACCTATATCAAGAAACAGAGTAGGAGCTAATGCTGACAGCTTCAGCACTAGCTTAGTTACCATCCTGCAGTGTCCATTCCAGGGCTGTTGTCTTCTCTTTTCTTAGTACGAACCCCGGTTTTCTGGTGCTTGTATCATAAATGCCAAACAAAGTTTGTGATGTAAACTGGGATGAGTTGGGAGGGTGATGCAGGATAACCCTCTCAGCTGTTAAGTCTTCATCTCTTGTGTATATTTCTCAACTACATCTGGAATGAATTTGCAGTGCTTACCCTCATTTATTGTTTTTTTTTTTTTTAATTTTTTTATTCTTAGAACAGGTAGCTTTTAATTAAAAAAAAAAAAAAAAGCTTTGGGAAGGGAGCAGAAGTCTGAGCGGTAACAGCAGTTCTGTTTCATACCTGTGGCTGTTTCTAGAGCTTTTGTACTGGATTCACCTGATCTGTGCAGAATTACCATGAGTTCTGAATTTAGTTATCAGAGATGAAAAATTCTTTGTCAGCCACCTTGTTCTCAGAGGTGATCTTAAACTTCAGTGTGCTATGTGCTAGTTGGGAAGTGTTGTGGGGTGGCTGACACTTGGTGTACAGTGCCTTCTTTTTTCAGTACTGCCAGGGGCTCTCTGGAAAATTCAGGTAGGCTCCTGAACTCGGGATAAGTCACCAGACTGCCTGTGTCTCAGTTTCCCCTGCTGTAAAATGGGTACAGTGATACTTATTTTAGGAGGCTTAAAAAGTAAAAGCATAGTATAGGAGCAAGGTAGTATTACTGCATCTAAGCGTTCTTTAGAGTAATTTAGGAATACTTCTAAATATTGAAGGATCTCAGCAAATGATGCAGGCTAAAATTTAAGTAGACCGTTTGGAAAAGGATGCTGAAAGGTAGAGAGCTGATTTGCCATCCTCCCAGTTATGCAAGTTGTCAGTGCACACTGCCACATCATGCTGTGTGCGTTGTAGCTGCGTGTCCTGTGGAGCTCTCCCACTACAATCAAGTCATGTTCAACCACGAGTGGTTTTCAGCAAGATAAAATAGACTTCGCTTTTCCAATACTGAAGTCATCTGTATGATTCATTTTGATAATTTGTTTAAAAATAGATTGAGTTTCTTCATACTAAACTATTTTAAATCTAATTGTATTCCCAAATAGTTCTTTACATGCTGCATCTTCAAAGCCATTTATTCTTGCTGGTAATGTAACTCTTCCACTTCTGCATTATATTTTATAACTGTTTGAAGTAATTTTCTAATTTGTGAATCATGATTGAATGGAAGGCATTTTGGTAATTAGCTCTCTCAGAAAGCTTGTTTTTAGAGTGGTAGAATACAGTCGATTTGCTAAGCCTCTAAACTTCCACATTGCTCACCATCAGTACCTCACTGAAAACAATCAATACGACTGGAGTGTTGGCAATGCTTGCTTTTTTAACAAAGGTGTGCTCATACACAAGTTCTCTGGACATATTTCTTTACAAAACCAACAGCAGTAATTGCAAACCAGCATATTCAGTCTGCAATAAACATGGATCTTCAGTGTTAGGCATTTTTGTTGCTACCTAACATAATTATGTACACAGCACTGCTCTTCTCAGGTGTTCCCAGTTTGTAGTCAAGTCATTCATCCTTTACGCCATTGATCTGTAGCACCAAGTAATTCCTCTCCAAACCTTCCCCAGAAGTTTCCTCCTCCCGTGAGATGCTGGCAGGCTGATCCAGTTCTCTTCCCCTGAGTTACAGCAGAGCAATGTCTGTGTGGCAGCCAGCGCGTGGTGCGCATGCAGTGCAGCTGTTTCCACCTAACCTGTTTGGGTGCAGTTTCTCTAACTCACCTTAGTTTCAGTTTCACTGCCATTTCAGCAGTAACTGCTCAGGCACTTCTGGCTTTCACTGGCTCTCAGTTTGAGTTCAGCTTTAGCAGACTTCAAAACTGTGAGGCTTCTAGTTCTAAATAAGGTCTGTGGCAGGGAAAACATAAGTTTTAAATGTTCTTGAGAAGTGAGTTGAATTTCCTTCAACTCAGTAAGTAATTTTGACATTGGGATGGGAAAACTCAACTTCTCCTCTGCTACTGCTAAGCTACCTGCCAGCTCTGCCCCTGTGGCTGGTCACAGAAAGATTAACAATGGAAGAAGCAGAATGGAGTTGGAAAGTGCCAGGTGTTTGTTGGGCAGGTCAGTGAAATGGAAACAAATCTGCTTTCCCTGGGAGTAACAGGTTGTTGCATTAAATACTGCAGAGCTGCCGTGGTCCTGCATAGAGCAGGTTGTACACACCTCCCTGAGGGGGAGAACCCTTTTGTGCATGCATCTCAAGTCTTCCGAGGGACCAGACCCAGGATCCAGCAGATCTCAGAAGAAATTCCATGTTCACCAGGTTCCAGGAGAGCCCTGCCACCTACTTCAGCTGCTCATTTCCTTCCATTACTTTTGTGCTGGTTTTTAGTTTTTTTTCTTTTTAAGTGCACTTTGTCAATATTGCTGTAGTTGGCTTTTCTAGAGAACTAATGTCAAATGGAGCTGTTAATCACATTGTAAAACTTGTTTTGTAACATTTCTTTCAGCTTTAATTACTGGTAATTTAAAATCTAATAGCATAGCTATTAGTAATGTATTTGGTATTTCTGCAAGATTTTACAAAAACATTTTAAAAGAGCGAATACACCATTTTATGCTGTAGGGAGTAAAGCAGATAGGCGCAGTCAGCCTGCAGGAAGCAAACAGATTAGGCTGGAAGGTCAAGCTGTGAGTGGAGATTTGGTGTGACTCCAGTCCCACTGCAATACAGTATGGGAAATACAGACCCTGATTGACTGGGCTGTCCGTTCTCAGTGCTGCACTTCCTAAATACGTAATATAAACTGCATGGCTGTCTAAAATAAATGTCAAGACAAAATATTCCACCTTTCTTTTAGAGACTTCGTACATACATGTATTTTTTGAAAGATTTAAGACAGGAGCTCTTGTATTTTTGCCTGGATCAGGAAGTTAAAGCATTTTTTTTTAAACCTGACTGAAAGCATTATGTAATTCTGCAAATGTGTAGCTATTGGGAAGGCAAATTTGTTAATTTTGTCTTACTTTAATGAAGCATAACTTTTTGGGGAAGATAAATCCAATTTCTGAAACTGTGCATCTTTTGTTCCTATTTGACCAGACAGTAAGCAGTATATGAAAAGAAAGAAGACCCTATCAGTCATTACCTCTTCCCATGTGTAACTTTATGCTATGTAAAGAAGTCTATATATATAATTTTATATATATATATATATGTCTTGGATGCTGTGCCTTTCCCAAGAATCATAGGATAAGGATATGGGCAGATGCCCTTCCCTAAGGGATATAGGAGTAACTCATAGCACATACTTTGCTTGTGAGAGAAGCAGGAGACTGCAGCAGGCCTGCGGGATGCCTGGGCTCAGTCGCCCCTGGGAGGCTGATGATTGATGTCACATTTCTCTTCTGTTGAGAGGTGGTAGCCCTCTGTTTCCTTGGGCAAGAACAGCTAATGGCAAGACTGGAGTGAAAAGCAATGCAAACCCAAAGATTATCGAATTAGAAAGTTAGAACATTACATTAGAAAAAAGGGGAAACTTGAAATCTTTCATACATTTCCTTTTATATAGAAAAGTTAATGTTGGGTAAAAACATTGATCTATCAACACCACAAATTCCACACATTTGAGAAAGCACAAGAGCAGGAGCTGAGGGATTGTACTGGTTACCTCAGCTGTAGTGAGAGTTCATTTTGTCTAGGCTAATCTCAGATGGGGAGAACTATTTGGTTAGAGAGAAATTAAATAGTTAAAAATAAAGAATGAAAAAAAAAGATCGCAAAGATGCTTAGCAACTGGAGAATATATGGACAAAAAAAAAAAGTAAAAGAAAAAGCTACAAATAGTCACAAGAAGAATGACGATCTGTTTTATACAAGGTCATGTGAACCATCTTAGAAACCAAAGTACAAAATCCCTGCAGTCATCAAGGGGCAGAATACATGCCAGATGCGTGCTGTATTTCTGGTTCAGCTCACAGATGCGTTGCCGTGCTGAGCGATGGTAGAAGTTCTTGGTAGAAGATATGATAGCTCTGAGTTTGAACTAAAAGGATATGAAATGATAAATACATGTTTGGTTCTGCATACATCTGGTGCAAATTCTGGAACTGGGTTTGAGCTGTTTTATTTATTTTCCACACAGAGGACTCAGTTAATTTGTAGATAGTCCTATTTGAGTACATCAAATCCAGAACGTTAAAGTTGTTAAGAATTACTTTGAAGTAGAAAGCAAACATTGTAATGTAATTCAGTCTAGTTTGTCTTAACTTTCTTGAGTAAACTGAGTATTTTGTTTGTTTTTAAAGAAAAACATAGCCCCTTGTGAATTACATAAGTAAGCTTAAGTATTGCAGTGTTGGCAACACTATGTGTATAAAAAAGGATCAATTGTAGTTCTAGAAAGAGCAAGCTAAAAACGTTTGAGTTGGGCAAGTAAATAACTTAAGGCAGTCTATAGTACCTGCATGTGTGATAATGGTAATTATCACAAAATCATTATAACCGCAGAGAATGCCAGTAATTCACTCTAACGCAACTGCTAGACATGTCCGAAAACTCATCCATCTTGCTAACTGTTTGCTAAATTATGTTGTTTGTACAGGAAGCTTAACTTCATTGACAGCCTTGAATCTGAGACATTGTCCCCTTGAATTTCCACCCAAAGATGTCATAGAAAAGGGAGTAAAATCTATCCTCTGCTTTCTTCGGGCGTCTGGGAACAACAGGCTACTCTCCATGGAGCCAGCCACTTCAGGTATGTTGGGAACACATGGATGTGTATTTACTGTATTTTGTTGTGGAAAAAAGCGTGAGCCAGGGAACACTTCCCTTGTTGGCTTTTCGCTAGTGAGCGTCACCCTGCTCGGCACCTGAAAGGGACGCTGCGAGCTGCAATGGATGATGAAAAAAATGCTTTGTTGTGCTACAAAAGCAAACACTGAATCTCAAACCATTAAGCAGAGAAAGAAGAGGCTGTATTTTGTGTAATAAGAGGATATCTTAATTATGTGCGATACGAGGAGAGAAACAGGACGCTTACAGCAGGGGCTGTTCTTCAGAGTCAGCAGGGAAGAAGCACGAACAGAGCTGGCTGGGCTGCTTCATTAAGGTGGCAAATGGCTTGTGTGCATGCCAGGCACGCAGGTGTGGGGTAAGTGTACAGGTAGATGACACTTCATAAGGGAGACAGGAGTAATAGAAATGTTAGGGAAATAAATTATGTAAAGAGCAGAAGGCCAAAACACACCTGCCTGTAGTCTCTGGGTAAGAGGCCAGCTGCAGGAAGCCCTGGCAGGTCAGCTGGCTCCAGGCTGAGGTTAGAATTAGCTTTCTTCCTGTTCTGTATAGCCAGCTGGCCAGGTCCCTCACAGGAGGTGAAGGGAAGGGGGAAATACGAATGGAGGAAGTTCCTTCTGCCTGCCTGTGTGTCATGAGGAAGGTGGGGATGTAATTGGTAAATTTACATACAGCCTGAAGCACAGACCTACTTTTTAAAAAATGTAGTACAAACACACACACTGTACACCGTAACTGTTGCTACAAGCTGTTTGCTGCTGTTTGTCCACGTGCAGAAGTCTGATGGCATTCTCAGGATTTTCACGTGGTGTTTGAGTTCACGTTCTTCAAAGACAAGTACAGCCTGCCTTCTATCTTCAGATCACATTTTCTTTTTTTTCCCCTCGTTATTGCAGCTATAAATTTACATTAGGAGGGTAAAATTTAAAAGCTGTCAGCAGAGAGGAAAAGATGCAACATCATTTGCAGTATTTATGGTCAAATAGATTCCAGAAGTCATTAATAATAGAAATACTAGTCATATTCCCACGGAAGACCTCTTCTCACATTTAATCTTTCCTATAATGAAACCTAATGACTATGGATACCATTGGTATCAGATTGGAATTAGGGATGCCAAAATGTGCTATTGTTAATGGGAACTCCGTAAATTCAGAGTATGAATGAACCACTTAAAATTCTAAGCAATATGGTGAAATACATTAAAAAAAAAATTGTTTGAAATATCATGATACTGAAAATGAAGACAAAATATGTAAGGATGATGACTGTGTTTCTTTATCAATCTCAATTCCACATATGGTGCTACTGAAAAATAGTTTGGAGTAAGAACAAAATATCAGATGCTCACCATTCACTTTCAATGAGAATTAATGCTGCTCCTGGATATTCAAAATTATGCCTTTTATGGACATCAAAGCATTTTGTTAAGCAATCTGTGTCAGGGTTGAAATGTATTGGAATACATCAGTCCAATTAACTGCATTTTCTGTAGCTTTCAAATGGACTTCTGGTACGCAAAATATCAAAAACTGTGGCAAAATGCTCAGTAGAGCACAAATTCTTACTGATCTGAATTCGCTTTACAATTTGGAAATTAATTTCTTTGAGCATTTTTTCTTGTTACTTACCATTGTGTGTTTTTTGTTTTGTTGTTTTGTTTTTAATAGGATAGTAACAAAAAAAATGTCCTTTTGTGTGAGATTAAAGAAGTAAACCCCCTAACCACAAGAAAGTGCTCATTTAGGGACATCTGGCTAAGTATATTTAGATACTCTACAACTAATGGTAGCAGAGAGTTAGGAGTTCAGTAATGAACTAAAAGAGGTTTTTGGGTTTTATTTTTAAGGATGTGTAGACTATGCAAATAGGCTGTCTCCTTTTTATCTGTGTAAGATGAATCTCTATTATTTTTCAGTTCTCTCTCTTTACTCGGCAGTAGCAATTAAGAATTAATGACAGCTGATCACCCTTGAAGCTTGTATGGGAAGTGAGAGTTCTGCTTGGCAATTAGCAGAGTGGTTTCCAACAAGGGTGTATTGTTTTTATAGGAACAGGGACTTATACAGATGTCTCTCCAAGTTCCCATATACATTTATTATATGCTTTCTTTCAAAAGGAGTAAGTAATATACTTGAAACGCTCTAGTTATTTTGTTTTTAACTTCCTTTCAGTGGTACACAATCTTGAAAATTTTGTGGATTTTTAGTATTCTTCAAAATAGCAGATCTGAGGCATTTTTTCTTCTGCTTTTTTTTTTTTTTTTGTCTGCATAAAAATATGGGATTGCATTATGTTCTACTTAATTCAAGCACAATAGATTATAATGATAAAAAAACCTGAAGTATGGTCTGCATAGCTCTATAACTTAATTACGTTATGTTTAATGTTAGTTTAGGTAGTGGTATATTTAAAGAAAAATAATCCCATGGACTTTAATATTTAGAATCTGTGGGCATGCACATGAAGTTTGGGAACCTTCTGTAATATGCAGGAGTTTTTTGCTCCCTCCCACGTGGCCCATCTGTTCGTGTTGGATGGGAGCAGTATGTAAGAAGTAGTATATCCATACTTCATGCAGAGAGGATGACAGAATGTGCCTTGGAATAGCGCATTCTCTCTGAATGCGAGAAGAGGAGGGATGTGAAATCCAGTGCGTTCGTTCTCTAGGAGTCGGGAACCTCCCCAGCCTGTCATCTGTGTGGAGCCAGACCTTTGTGCACCTGGTGCCATCTCAGCATCAGCAGCCAAGGGAGAGCCGCGACACCAAATCGCAGCTGCTGCTGGGGCAGCCGGGGCCGGGGAGCAGCCAGAGGGGTGGCTGAGGTCTGAGCTGGGCGCTGCTGAGCTGGGGGCTGCTCCTGGGAGCTGCTCCTGGGAGCTGCTCGGTGCCTGCGGGCTGTACGCACAGGGCAGCATGGATATGCCCCAGAATTAACCATCGTCATAGAAACATGGAAGGTCTGTGAAAAGATGTGTGAAAATTAATACTTACAAAGATGTAGCTTGAGATAATGCTGAATTTCTTTAACCTGAAATGCCGTTTGGGATGGGCTTTGATTTTGTAATTCCACTGCATATGTAAATTGGTTATGTTACAGTCACTTCTGATTTGACTCACAGATTGCATCTGGGCACTTGTAGCATGTTCACAGTTACGTATCCGTTTGCTTTGCCTTTTTGCTTCCTCTGATACATAGAACATACTTTAACTAGTCATCATGCAGACAACTCTGAAGCCAGTCATGCACGGTTCATGTAGTAGTTATTTATACACAAATCTACACTGAGGCACTAAAAATGCTGCAGAAAACTGTGGAGAAAGGAAAAAGTTGGGATTATACAGCCTTAATTCAATCCATATATGTACACGTATTGTATTGTATTATTGTCTAAATTTCCATTTTAATTTCATCAAAGTGGAGATTTCAGTGCAAAGCAGGGTTTTACATCTTTCATGTCATACTCTATCAGAAGGCACTGTCATTTATGCAGTATTTGTGGCAGGGCCATATTTAAAACTTGCTGGGGTCTGGGGCAGGCTCCCTGAGTTGGGCAGGTTTCAGGACAGACCCAGAATTGCCTCATTCAGGGGGCTCCTGCAGTAGTAGAGTCCCCGTAATGCTGTGTGTACACAGTACAAGCAACCAGAGACCTTCATGGAATTAGAATACGGACACTATGCAGTGAATTGGTTTCTGCAAGGTGTTGAGGACACACAAACTGTTAAACTGTTAAGCGGAAAGTACAAGCCAAAAGCATGAAGCACTTGAATATAATTGCACTGTTGAATCAGCTTCTGCATACTGGTATTGACTATTTAAAAAAAAAAAAAAGTAAAAAGCTGGCTGAAGAGTTTGCCATAGTGAGATCTGTAAATTATCGGTCAGAAGGAGGCCACTATGCTGCTCGCATGTGTCAGAGACTGTTGGGTTCCTCCAGAATACAGATAGCTTTAAACACTGTGAAAAATCTAAGAGAACAAAATATATATTAAAAGAAAAAATGACCAACAAATCCCACTTCTGTTAGACTGACGCTATCTAGACACTATGTTTTTCTTAGATAAAAATCTGACGATGTAATTGATATGTAGGATCATGCAAACTCTTTTAATCCCCGTAGAAATACCACCTGTTGAAAAGCTAAACCTAAGTGAGCTGTTGCAATCCAGTTTGGATGTATCGGATGATTGGCCTAATGAAGAGGAAAAGCTAAAATTTCAGAAGCTGAAAGAAGAAATTATAAAAGATGAAAAAGAAGAATTTCTTGCTGACCAAAGTTTAGGTGCAATTCGGGATCTCACCAAAGCACAGAAAAACCATGGAAAAAACAGAGAGCTCTACCCAGAGCCAGCTGGTCTTTGCAGGTGACTAACTTTTCGTGTAATGGTACATGGCAAGGATCTTGCAAGTGCTAGGAAACTGCATTTCTAGTGGAAAATGCAAAAACATTTTATTATGTGGCATTACACAGTGTCAAATATGTATTTGAATAAATGGTATTTATGACAAGTATATAGAATGTATTTTTCATAATTGCTGTGATTGTAAATATTTTCTCCAAAATTAACACGATCCATTTTTTATATTTTCCTATTTAATTCCTTTTCCACATGTATTTTGTTAATTGTACCCTTGAGAGCATGTGATAATACAGAATAACGAACTGTAGAATCTTGCAGATATCTTATTTTTTATTTATTTTTAATATATGTAATGTGATAAGTAAGTATAAATGCAAGATAATACATTAAACTCATTTGTATTTTGACATATTCTTTATTTGTTATATTTCACAATATGTAATTAACACAAGCCTTCTTTGAGAGAATTTGTTGGTGAATCCTTTTTGAAACATGGAAGTACCTTTTTGCATAAAGGACAGAGTAAAGACAGTAAAAATATTCCTAATCTTTTTTTGTTCAGAATGTTTCAGTATTTATGATAGCAGTGATTTTTTCTGTCAGTATTCAGATACATTTTTATTGTTACTTGAAAAATATTTCTCAAAAGTACTTTTTTGGTAAACTGGAGCAGACCATTTTATTATTTTATTTTTTTTAAGTGCTGGCCTTTTTCATCAGGTTTCACACTTCAATCAAGCAGAAAAAGGGATTTTTATATTAACTGTGAACTTTCCTTCTGTTTTCTCTGTGTCACTGCTTGCCCTTTCATGTTTGAATCCATACGTCTGTGCTGTCACTCCCAGAAAAGCAATACGATACTGACTGTAATTTAATTAAATCCATGTGCTTAACTAGCACTGAAGTAATAGGGGGGAAATTTAGAGTTATTTATTTCTTTAGTAAAATTGCTAATTTCCCTGTGTGTATGTCCATTATTGGGCCTACAGCTTTTCTTACATGAAAAGAACCTGAAGGTGGCAGTGTGTCTTTACTATATGCCTCAACGTAAACTTCTCTGAAATATTGCGTTTCCCTAATTCTCATTGTTTTCTACACTTTATGTAGACATAATTATACATTACACGGTTTTTGACACCAATATTCTCATTGGGTGCTTTTTTGTTTCTGAAAGCAGAATAAGGACAGTATGGAAAAAAAAAATCTTGTACAATTCATACTTTGTGCCTGCCTTCTTATCCTCATAGTAAATCATTGTGCTTAGAGTATTTTCTATGAAGTAATTCATTTGGTAAATTACTTAAACATGTTTGAATTTAGATATTTTTTGTGCTTATACTGAAATAAAATCAACTGCGCATATGCTTAATTAGGCGGCTCATTGAAGTAGGATGCTTTGGGAATTTGTTGCACTTGAAGTTCTACCTGTTGTGATTCCTGGATTGTCTTATGCTTTGACAAAGGATCGCTAGCAAATTAAAAAGACTGCTTTTGGAGTGTATTTATAGCTCCATTACTAAATATGCAATATCTAATTAACAATATCAAACTTCACATTTTAAAAGGAGGATGTCCAGACAAAGGAATAAATTCGCTGAGCTTCTGTCCTGTGATAGGATGATTCAGGCAAGGCGAGGGGAAAAGAGCAGATCAGCAGCAGCACAGGAGCTAAAAGAAGAGCAAGCTTTATTTAAGCAAAGGAAAAAGCAAGTATTATGTCACTATTTTTTCAGTCATTACTTAGTTTCTTAACAGATTGCCTAGTTCACCATTTATAAGGAAAGAAGTAATTTCAAAATTTTGACTTGCAAGTGGAAACTTGAGCGAGCTTTCATTTACAAAATACAGTGCTCAGAGGCAACAAGAAAGGTGTCTATCAAATTTCTTGCAGGCTTGCCCATGGAACTCCATGATTTCCCATTGGATTGAGTAGAAAATCCTTTTACAGTTAATTCATACTTTTTGTTACATTCCATATAAACATAAACTAAGGATAATGTATATTATTGATATTGTTTGTTAAAAAAATAATTTATTGGGTATTATTATAGTTGACAAATAGTTTTAGAGAGACAGTGGAAATAAAGGAAGAGAATTATGGTTTAATACCTGACAGTGGTAGTATGAAGAGAAATAGTCTGAAACTTAAAATAGAAAAAATCACCAGAGAAGCACTGTGGACATTCAGAATCAGAGTAAATATAGTTTTAATAAGATATTTACTGATGAAACTTAAAAACGTGATGGGTCAAATTGTTACCAAATAGAATTTTTTCTGGTACAACTGTTTAATTTTTCTTTATGTTCACTCAAATTTACTCAGTATCTCAGCTTGCCAAGTTTAAACTATAGGTCAGAGATGAAATGTTTACCTTGTTACCAGTCCTTTGGGCAATTTAATTACTGCGCTTGGTTTACTCGGCTTTTGTTTGAATCTTTGTCCTGCTCTTTGATACTATATTCCTCCACGGAAGTCAGAAGTGACGGTGCATCTTGGCAGTTTTCCTGCTCCTGTGGTAAATTAATATTTCATAAAGAGGCTCCTGGTAGTTTATTTCTAATTGTTAGGGATCACCTCTTTAAAAGTTTGCTGTAAATTAACTTTTTCAGCAATAAAGAAATGCGTCAGGACTCTCGAAGCTATGCAAAGTGGAATAACGAAAAGAAAGAAACATTTAGATTTTCACCTCCAAATGCACATATGGTATGTACCAGAGAATAGTAAGGTAGGATGTTGGCAAATACAATCCATTAATTTGATTTCTTTTCTTTATAGCCTGTATACTGAAGTTTAAAACTTAAGAGGAGAAAGCCAGAACTTTAAGTGCCAACACTTCAAAGTCTGTGGCTTTGCAGACCCCTTCTCAGATGTCTGTGTGGCTTGTGACTCCTGCAGCCCCATGTGCAGTGTAGGAGTTGCTCAGTTCTGCACGCTGCTACTCAAAATCTGTAGTGGCTCCAATAACCAGGCTACTTGGAGGCGTGAAGACAGAAGGGCGTATGTTTAAGTATTTATTTATTTTTTTAATTATTGAAAGCCTCCAATATGAGGTGTTGCATCTGCCAAACCAAATTTGAAGTGGGCTGGATTTTCTGTAATTTGTAAGCTGGTAGGACTGCCGGGAATTTGTACGAAAGGAGGGCACCTCACTTCAGGTTCTTTTTGAGGTGTGTATTAAGGGCCTGGCAAGATTTTTCCCCAAAGTAACAAACTTTGTTAGAGATTTTTATTTTAAATTTTGCCATTAGTTTTGCTATTAGATTCTCTTTTCTTATATATAAATATTGGAAAAGTTGAAATACTGAAAATGAATGCACAACATTTTTCCAGTGCTCTGTTATGAAAATAAACAGTAACATAGAGTAAGGTGTTTGGAGATAATCATCTAAGGATCTTGAGATGCTCTAATAGTTTTTCTCTTGCTTTGAGGAAAACTTTACTCTCAGTTTTCATGATTTCTGGGCATGCTGCTGCTTTTCACTGTGAAGGTGTGGAAATGTATACAAGTTTTGTCTGAAATTTCAGCATCTTTTAAATTAAAATGAGTTACATTCCTCCATTCTAAAAGAGATTTACTCAGGTTTAATGTTAAATCCTATTAATATCTACTTAGCAATACCTGGTGTTCAGACAGTGAAGAAGGATCTTTATGTTACAGATTACAACTTTTCTAAAAATGTAAGAAAAATTGAAATTCAAAATTTACACAAACATTTTTCATATTTTAAAAGTAAAAACAGGACTGTTGCACTTCCAGCCTGCTAGGTTTTTGTTTGTTTGTTTGTTTTACTTTTCTTTAAACTCGTGTTTTGAAACTCAGCCAAATTACATTACTACATGTACCAGTGCTTGGATAGATGTTGTTTTGAATTGAAGTTTATCAAATAGATGATTGCAAAGGTTTGCCGTGTAACTATAGGCAATATAAGGTCTTTGATTTGGCATAGAAGAGAATTGAATTTTGAATGACAAGAGGAGTAAGCATATTGTTGCATCATACTTTTAAATAATTTTCTATTCAGCGTTCCTACATTTATTTAAATGGGGAGAGTGATGATTCACTACCAGAGAATAATTCTTTAATTTCTCCTGTAAAAAAAAAGGGGGGGGGGGGGGATGGGAGGTGGGGGAAGGTGGGGGAAAGTAGTTACTTACACAGCGATATACAAACGATGTGTTTAAAATGACCTTAATGCCGTGTGAGTTTGTGCTTCTGGAGGTCCGTGTGTGCGTCCATCTGATCTGACACGGGGTGGCACTGCAGCACAACGCACACCTTGCACGGGGACGCTCTGTGTTACTGCAATTTATTTATTTAACAAAGTATTTAACAAATACTGAAATCAGAGCTGTGAAACGTTCTCATAGTTTTGTACTAACAATCATTAGTCTTTGCTCTTATATTTAGCTTCTATAGTTGTTCTCTGGTCTTTTTTGTAGCAGTTTTATACTCCTTGAGCATTACAGACACATCCTGTATTTAATGTAAAGATTTTAGTTTTCAAATCCTCTCTTCACTAAGAAAAGTGCTGTGCCAATAAAATACTTCAAATCTACCACAATATTTATTTAGCAGTGAATTTGTCATTTAAACAATATGTTCTGTTATACCCCCTCCACCCCTGATCCTGGGGAAATAAGACCCTTGTAAGTAAATCTAAAATAATTCTCATTTCATCTGTGAATGTTCCAACGTAATGGAAGGCAATAAAAACATAGAATTACAAGGTGCAGAATTCAGTTCTAGGACTGCGACTTCAGCCAAACTCGTGAGCACAGGCGTTGTGTAACTCCTGTAGGCCACTCCAGCATTGTTTGTTTTTTTTTTCCTGATTTTGTTTGTAATCTAACCAAAATCTAAGCGTAAAGTACGCAAACAGATGTGTTATGTTTAAAATGTTTGCTATTGGCTTTTTGATTGAATAACAAAATGATCATCTAGGAATTCTCACTTCCTGGTAGTGAAGCACTTTGTCCCTGTCAATAAGCCAGTGCTTTTAGGATCAGAAACAATTTTCCACAAAAAACATAAAACTATAAAACTTCTGAAAAGTAGGAGTTCTTTTCCTTTATCTATTGCAGCGTACATACTTCAAAAATTGGTTGGGCTTTTTACTTTTATAAAAGTTATTTGAAAGGCCTTCATCAGAAGATGGGTTTGCAGTAAATCTGCCCTTATCTGGAATCATCTCGCTGAATGTCAGCGTCTTGTTCCTAAGGCTATTACCAGCCAGAGATTTGCTTTGGACTATCTGTTTTGGTGGAAGGGGCAAGGACTTTTTTTTATTATTATTATAAACAAACAAAAAAGTAAAACCCAATGCCATATTTGAAGGTTCACTTATTTTTAAACTGCAGCATCCTACAGGTACTCACAGATGAAAGGGCAGGCACTAGCTAGCCAAAACTGGGCTTTGGATGCTGGCCTTCTGGAAGGAGTGAGGTTTGGGGGCTTTATCAAAATTTTGTTAAAACCAAAGCATTGCTCTGTGAAGTTTTTCTGCCTTTACCACCTGATGTACTAGTAAAAAAAATGGTTTGTGTTATTCTGTTCGTGAAATGTTTCACCAGGCTTATCTCTAGCCTGCCTTAGCTTTACGCTAACTGTTACCCAGAAACACTTAAATCTGTGTGGGACTTTCAAAGAGTGTGTTTCTTGGAACTCTTACATCTACCGTGTTTTGAACAATTTACTCACAGGTTATGCACTTGGGTCTTGGTGACAGTGGGAGCTCAGTTTTCACCCATTTACTGTGATTTTGAAAACTACTTTGCAATTACTTCCTTTACCATAGAGAAAATACGTATAAAAAGAAATGGTACTCAAAGCAAGCCTTCGCACAGCCTCAGCTCCTGCTGTCCTGGACTCTGTATTAAACCCTCCTACAGAAATGTAAGCATATTCATGCCATGTAACACATATCATAGAATCATCCCTTTGGGGTTTTACAGCTTTATATCATGCTCCCCATAAGCTGCACCTGGCTGCTCGGAAGCTGCCATTGCCTCTGAGTTGCCTGAAAAGATCAGAAGGCAGTTAGAGCACTTGTCCAAGTCACTGAGCACTGGCAGTGATTTCAAATGACAGCAGCCTTTACAGCATTAGAGTCTCAATATGAAACCAATTTCAAATTCCTAACATTTCCATATAATGTGTTAGCATTTTGTTTCATTGTAGATGCCCCAAACTGCATCATATGGTACTGATAACATCAGTTACTATGCCACGAAAGAGGCACCCGAGAAACAGAAGGACCATACACCTGAAAAAATGGACCAAGGACTGCTGAAAGTGAAAGATGAAACTACAAGGTTAGTGCTAAAAAGATACAGCTATGAACTGCTCCTGTGTAATGGTACTGATGGCATCTGCTAACTTGCTATTATGAAAACGTTAATTTATTTTCTCTTCCGTGAAGTACAATCAACAAGAATCCTAATCAATAAATTGTTACTAAAAAAGAAGTTAATACAAGCAAATTCCAAGCTTATTAAAAAAAATTAAATCACTAGCACTTCAAGACTTGTAGCTGAGCTCTGTGCACCTGCTCCTTCCCTTGCAATGCAATACCCGGACAAGCACACTGTTGGAACAATTCTTATCTTTTAATAGCAATAATTTAGTTTGATAAAACAACTATTTTATAGTACCTTTATATCATCTTAATATATTTTAAAACACTTAATGAGTGTGAGCCAGAGGGCTGACTAGAAATTGAGTACCTCTGATCCTTTTTGCAAAATGAATTAAACAAATCACAACTGGCTGATGTCCTAACCTTGAAAAGCTTCGCCTGGATTATAAATGTGCGTAGTTATCTAAGCTGGAAAATACTTGAAATCATTCGTCTTTGAGGGCTGCGCACACGCACGCACACACACACTGAAGAAAGGGGAGAAATGTGAACGTGTTCCAAATTTTTAAGAGCATATACAATATCTGATTTGATTTTGGGAAGTGTTCAGTTTAAGTTTTTTCTTCTATTTGGTTTTAACTTTTACAAGGAAAGCTTGGAATGTTGTTTTATTCTAGTTAGATGCCATTTCATTCCACTTTGCACTCCTCAGAATTAGTCCTTCTTTATATGGGGCTGTATCTTGAGTAGCTGGCCAAGCGTGTTCCGGTTGATGCATACACCACCATCCTCCCCGACAGATAATTTCTTGGGGCATAACCACTATGCAAATGTCTGTAAGTCAAGGAAAATTTTAATTAGCTTCAAGTAACACTGCACTGCATTATACCTTCTCATAATGTGGAAAGAGATGGTTACAGGTACCACGGCTATGGCCAGACGGGTCTGATGGCCACAGAAGTACAGTACAGTAAATACGTTTACTTAGTGATCATTGAAATTTCAGTCCTGTCTTGTATTTCCCTTCACAGTTGCATGAGTGTCTCAGTACGTTGGGAAGGGCTGTTCTATAGTACTCCTTTTCTGTGTTTCTCGTGTCCCAGCATGATTTTAAATCTACAGCCAAGACCTTTGAAAAGTAGTTGATATGTGCTGTTCGACCACTTGCACTGGAGACAGTTCCACTGCCTCTTCAAATTCTTGTTTTGCTAGCATGCCTTCCACAGCATTTCCTTTAGTTTTGCTTTCTGGCTGTGCTGAACTCCCCATCAGTGTTTCCTTCACAGTCACATACTTTGAATTACACACTGCACTGAAAGGCTTCCAGCTTCTACAGCAATTCTGCAAAGGACCCACCAAAAGCAGCCTGTACCGCTCCGGCACTCTGACCTCTCCCCAGAGTACCACTGAGCTTAGGGACTGAACAAGGCAAGGGTTAGATTAAAATAAGGTCCCAGTATTGTAAGATACAGTAGTGTAAGAGCACCACATCGGGCACACGTGCATATTAGCAAAGGCAAGGCCACAAGATTTCATTCATTTTGCTTCCCATCGTGCAAATACTTTTGGAAGAAATGTGTTAAATACTTGAAACCAGAAACGGAAGGCTCTGTGATTATAAAGGAACTGAAATAATACTTCCATCATGTTTACTTAGATCCCCCAGAGGAAAGAAAATGGAACAAGGCCTCAAATGGCACACGCAGATGGTGAAAGCAAGAGAAAAATTAAGAGCAACGCCCCCAGAGGAAAAGCAGGACTTGGAAGTGGTGAGCATCTTCTCTTTTGGGGGGAACTGCAGTAAAGGTAGTAGTGCTCTGGGCTTATTAACCATTGTAAATTTGTCATTTCATTAATTTCACAAGTTAATCTCAGGTAATTAATCATCTCAGGTACCAAATATTTTAAAACTAAAATCATCAAAAATGGAACATTTATTTTTATGTTTAAATTGGTTGTGTGTACATGCACACAACATGTAAGTATATGAACAGGTCTACACATTGGTAGCACTCTGAGTCTTTCAAAAGTAAAGCCAGAATTCTAAGATAGAAGACAGAAATCACGAAAAGCGTAAGAGATGGCCAAAGGTTGATATGAAGCTCACTAGACAGGAATGATGGTTTTTGTCATGTTGCGTGCAAGCTGTTCTATGCAAGTGGTTAATGCGGCAGAAAGTTGAAATTCAAAATTATCCATTTACAATTGGAAAGAGGACTCGTAAATCTATACCTGCCTGCTAAGGAAGAAAAACTGAGAGCTGTGTTAGTGCAGGTGTGACATTTATTTGTTTATTGCAACATTTTTAGGGATTATTTTGTTTTGACTGAAAGTATTACTTCAGCTTTCCAAACTGTGTGGCTAGTCAAAATACATTTTTCAATAAAATGAGTTAGTGCTTTGCACGTAGTTTGATTTCTGTGCATAATCAGGTCACTGCACTCAAAATCGGTTTTGCCTCGAGAGCCTAAACTGGTTTGATTCACATTTGCATGAGGTCAGTAGATAGTGACTGAGCTTCTGCAGGGTTTAAATGGGATTTACTCGACAGAGACCAACTAGCCAGCGGTGGGGCTTCCCATTGTGCTTTCTTTTTGCCTTTCTGTTCTGCCTACCTCCACGGAACCTGCTGAAATGATGATTTGGTCAGATTCAAAAAAGGAAGCTGTCAGAAATAAGTTTACTGAGGGCAGAGCAAGTACAAATGTTCAATACGTTTCTTCCAAATGTGACAGTACGTTGTGTACTTATCCTGCATTCTAATCAAGCAAGAAATTGAATTCATTAATGTTGTAGGGATATCACCTGTACTACATTTGGCAATGCCTCTCCCTAGTAAAGACTAGTGTTAGTAATAAACACCTTTTATAATGCCCAGGGAATATGGAACAACTCCAAAATTGTTTCTTACTGCAAGGAGGAGCAGCAGTCCATGAAAAGGCAATTCCTTCACAGCTCCTCACGTGGTAGTAGAAACTTGTGCCTGCTGTCAGCCAGCTACACCTGAACCTTTGAGTATGGGTTCCATGTCCTGAGGTGTCCTAGCAGCCACTAGGTGGAAAAATTGGAAATGTGCAAGTAGCTATAGCTGTGTAAACTGACAGGGTAAAGGCTGTGGATTTCATAGCCTCATTTTTACAGTGTTTACAGTTATAGCACCTGCATTTTTAGAAAAAAAGGAAATCCTGATGTTATTCAAAGCATCTTTTGGCCTCAAAACCAGTGATGTAGTGCACATGAGGCACATTCTCCATACTATACATAACAGGGCAAACAAGCTCCATGCAGTGCGCCAACTCTGTCCCTGTGCCAGGAAATCATGACGCTGTGCTAAAATTACCCTGCTGCGTAACGCCACGCACAGCCAAACGCACACCCTGCGCTCCCAACATGGAGCTCATTCCTCAAGGTGGAGGTGCAGGAGTCGGGGATGACAATGTGACCTGGCATTTAGGGGGGGCTCCCCGTGTCCCGAACCGTGGTCCCCGAGCACTCCGGGGGCTGTGTGCTCACACTGGGGGCACAGCTCCGGGGGGATGTGGTGGCAGCTCAGGGTGGCTTGGTTGCCCTATTTCCATGGGGAATCTGCCCTTTGGTTTCCAAATACGCATTGAGGAGTCCTGACAGCCCTGACTGGCAGAGGAGTCCTGTCTCATGGGTGTCTGCTGGAACAGTTCCTCCAGAAACAGGATTCCCCGGGGGAAGTGGCAGCACTGCTGTGCGCAGCAGGGGCAGCGAGGGCTGGTTTTCATTAGGGGAGGTGGGGGTTCTGTGCACGGGAGAGCTGTTTGTAACTCCATGTGACCATGTACCCATTCTCTATTTGTTTATTTTTAAACCCAAGGTTGAAGACCTGCCGACCAAGCTGGCACAACTGCGCCAGCATCGCTTTACGGCCTCCACAGGAGCAGCTTTTAGCGGGTTCCCTGGGACTGCAGACTAAAAATGCGTTTTCCAGTAGGAAGCTCTGAGCGCCTGGAGTTGCAAAAGCATCAAGTGTTTCCTTCAGAAGATGGGAATGACAAAGATCTCCGTACTCCTGGCTGCATTTAGCAGCTGGGAGCCTCTAATGCTGATAAACGTGCTCTAAATGGCCCCTCACTGTGTCTCCTCACAGCGCCCCTGTGGCGCCGCCCTGAGGCCCCTCACAGCCCCTGAGGCGGGCAGAGCCCGGCCCCGCCCCCAGCCCCGGCCCCGCCCCCGCACGTGCGCGCGGCCCCTCCCCTCCCTCCCCCCTCCCTCCCCGCCCCTTCCCGGTGACGCGGGGCGCGGTGACGCCATCTTGCGGCGCGGCGCGGGGCCCGGCAGCATGGCGGAGGCGGAGGCGGAGGCGGCGGCCGAGGCGGAGCGGGCGGGGGCGCCGCGGGTGGGCGCGTGGCTGGCGGTGCGCGTGGAGCAGGCGCTGGGCGACACCCTGCTCGTCACCCTCAGCTGCGGGCAGCGCCGCTTCGCGGGGGTGCTCATCGACTGCGACAGCAAGTACGGGGCGGTGGGGGGGGGGGTACCGGTGGGGGGGGGGTACCGGGGGGGGGGGCACGGCTCCCCTCAGCGCTCCCGTCAGGGTCCCCTCAGCGCCCAGCGGCTCCCCTCAGGGTCCCCTCCCGCGCTGGCCGTGCCGGTAGCGAGGCGCGGTGGTCCTGGTGTAGCTCAACCCGTAATGAGTTGGTTTTTTTAATTATGCAGCAGTATAGGGCTGAGGGCAGCGCCTTCCCTTCCAAGGGGGGGCCGGATTGAGGTAACGTAATCCATAATCTGTATCTGTAATCTGTGATCTGTAATCCGTGACCCGCCTGCCCCGGGGGGGGGGGTTACACCGGGCTGAGGGCTCGCCCAGCCCCAGCTCGGTGCCTGTGAGCGCCCTGCCCTGCTCTGCCCCTCACACCAGAACCCTCACAGCATAGTCTCAGTTGGATGGCTGGCGGTGAGCAGAGCCGACAGTGACTGCAAGCAGATAGCTAGGTCAGAGGTTGGACTCGATGATCTTGAGGTCTCTTCCAGCCTAGAAATCCTGTGTGATTCTGTGTGATTCTGTATATCAGAAGACACACGAGTTGCATCCAGAGGCGAACAAAAGGCAGGGTGCTGTGGGGAAGGCTGCTGGAACGGGTGCTTCTCCTTCAGGTAAAAGCACGCCGCTGCTGGGAAAGCAAAGCGCATCAGACCAGGCGCTTCTCGGTGTGCAGGAGGTGGAGGAGCAGCGAGGGGAAATGCTCCTGCAGAGCTGTGCCCATACGGGAGGCAGCATCAGGACGGGACCGTGGGGCCTGGCCCCGCAGCAGGGCTGGGGAAGCCTCGCACCTCCCCAGGCACCTCATGGCCACAGGACGAGCACTGCCGGGCACAGGGACTGAAAGCAGCCCGGGTGGCAGGGAGGCTGGCAGGAGGCTGGCAGGGGCAGGGTGTCTCGGGGCTGCTTCAGCCTTCAGAGCCGCCTCCAGCGTGAACAAAAGGGGCCGGAGGCCAGCGCTGGGCAGCGGTGACACGCGGCCGCTGGGAGCAGGCTGCTGGCCACGGCACGGAGCTCAGGGCTCACAGCAAGGCCCCCTTCCGAGCACAGGCACTGACCCTGCCGTGAGAGGAGCTGCTGGCCTGGCCTCCGGGGCCAGCCGGGCTGGGGCAGCTTCCCACAGGGCTGCAGGACCCCTGTGTGCCGCCCAGATGAGCTGCAGGTGGCCGGGGTCACCAGGCTGCAGCCTCTCCTTCCCTCAGCTCCCAAAAGGGACCGGGGGCAGCCTGCTGCCAGCCCCCCCGTGTCCTTGAGGGGAAGTTGCCGTCCCTCAGCACCGCAGCTGCCCCCCTGTGCCGTGCCCCCACCAGGCTCCGGGTCATGGGGAGGGAGCTGGGGCAGCCTGCGGGCAGCAGGCCCCAGCAGGGCTCAGGAGCAGGGGAGGCCGGGCTGGCGTCCACCTGCCGAGCAGAGGGGGTTCCTCTCATGCTGTTCCCTGGTGCGGCCGAATTGGGCAGATTTGTTGCACGAAATTACCAAAATTTACAGCCAGAGCTTTGGCAGTGGGACCGCTCCCAGTTGTTTTATGGACTGCGCTGACATCTTTGGCTGCACAAAGTGTGCTCGCTTGGTTGTCATCTGAAAGACACCTACGTGCTCAATTGTCTCTGTTTTAAAAGAGAAAAAATCTTACAACAAAATTATGTTCCAAACCTTGCCGTTTCAGCAGTTCAGTCCTCTCGACGTGGAGCTCCCCAGTCTGTTGGTCAGACTGTGCTCCTGCTTTCTTACTCTTCGAGTAATGAGAAGGGGCTTCTCGTGTTAGGGTGCAGGTGACTCGCCTAACCTTTTTGTTTCAGCTGGAGAAGAGCAGTGACTTGGTGCCAGGATCAGGTTAATGCCTCTGTTTAATTGATGTAAGCCTAGCCTTAAACTTCAGAGTCTTCACAGGAATGAGGTTGGTATGTGGCCATCGGTAACTGCTCTCTGCTGATGCGTCTGGGAAGGAGAGGTGTTCTTGTCCATGCCTGGTAAGGGCAGGTGGTATTTTAGGTATTTTAGCATCTTTCTGCAGCAAAGCGATGCAGCCCGAGGCCAGGGCTGGGAAGGGTGCTGTCAGCCCCAGCACCTGGGTGGAGGGAGGAGGCCCCTCCTGCTCTGCAACCCAGTAACGCTGATTTTTAAGGTCAGGAGGTGTGATTGGGGGTGCCTTAAACTCCTCTTCACTGGGTAGTGGTTACCAGTCTCCAGGCGATCCCCCTGTTGCTTGAGGAGGCGTCCTTCCTGGGAATTACACGGAAATGACTGGGAGGGTCGGTGGGGATCGTGGCAGCCGCAGCTAAAGCTGTCTATGCTCCGTGGCCACGGCTCGTCCATCAGCGTTCCAGTCACTGGGGGTGCTGAGGCAGCTCGCTGCGGGTCTCTGCAAGGCCCAGCCAGCGAGCGCTGCCCGTTTTGGGGCTGTTTCGGGGCAGGTGTGTGGTGAAGCGCTGCGCTAGCACAGCGTTTCTGATCGTCAGGCTAAGACCATACGTTCCTGTGCAGAAGCCACAAGACATGAAGCGTTGCTATGAGCTCTGGTGTTTCGGAGGATTTGCTTATGGCAGTGTCTGGGCAAGATATGGTGTCTGGGCTTGGACAGCCCGTAATGGAACCGGGCACTGAGCAGCAGTGCAGCATCACGCTTAATCCTGCTCTTCTGAAGCAGCAGCGTGTTTCTTATTTTAACAACTGGTCAGGCGTGCAGAATACCTGGGGAGAACAGGACTGTGTCCTGGTGAACTTGGGGCATGAGGGTGTGGGATGTGCCACAAAACCAAGCTGTTAGGTTTTGAAGGAGAAGCCGAAAATCAGCCACGAAGGTGCAGTGTGGAGAAAGGAGCTTTAAAAGCTGCCAGAGGGCTTGCACAATCTGTATCACAGGCTGCCCTGTGGCTTTACCAGCCTGCTGATAAAATAAACTGCTTTGCCTGATAAAACTTAAAACTTAGAGCAAAACTCCTTTTCTGTGTAAATGGTATGTGGAGAGAGATGTTGATCTCCACGCCTTGTCTGGCTGAGCAGCAGGACACCTTTCCTGAAGTCTCAAACGCTGTGATTTCTGTCAGCAGCAGAATTGGTTGCCCTGCCTTAAAGGAGGACAAGTTGCACTATTAGCATGGCGAAGTTTCGTGTGTTCTCGGGAGCTAGCACGCTTGTCACGCAGTCTGCCCCGAGAAGCGTCTGTCAAACACCCTGACTCTTTGTCTCTTTCCCTCCCTGTCCTTCTCGCCCTGTTTTTAGGTCTGGGCTCTTCTGTCTTCCGTCCTCCCTCCCGAAGCAAGAGGAGCCTCCTGCCAGCGCCTGCGCTAACGGGGTTGCCAACGGCGGAGACGCTGCGCGGGGCGAGACGGAGCCGCAGCCCGATGCTGGGAAGCCCCCCAGGGGCAGCGGGGATGAGCAAGTGCCCCCGCTCCTGCCCCCGCCCGGCACCATCCCTCCCTACCCGCCCTACTTCGAGGGAGCTCCCTTTCCTCGCCCGCTGTGGCTGCGGCACACGTACAACCAGTGGGTACCACAGCCACCGCCGCGGACTATAAAGAGGACGAGGAGGCGTTTGTCGCGGAACAGAGACCCGGGAAGGCTCATCATGAGCACCATCAGGCTGCGGCCCAGGCAGGTGCTCTGTGAGAAGTGTAAAAACACCCTGAACCCCGAGGAGGAAAACACGGCGAGGCAGAACGCTAAAACGAGGAGGAAGCTGAACAGTCAGGACAAAGAGCAGAAAAAGCACAGTGACTCCGACTACGCGGAGAAAAGGAACAAAAGAGAAAAGAGAGAGGACGAGAAATTTTCTGGGGAGCTAGTGCACCGAACACCGGTCATAAAGATATCCTACAGTACTCCGCAAGGAAAAGGCGAGGTGGTAAAAATCCCTTCCCGGGTCCACAGCTCAGTCAAACCGTTCTGCCCGGAGCGAGTACCGCAGAACGGAGAGGAGGACCAAGAGGAGATCCCAGACTCTGAGCGATGTCAAGAAACCAAATGTTTAACGGACAAGTCGGCAGGCAGCCAGCTTGCTTCCATTCCAAAGCTGAAGCTGACGCGGCCGGTGCATTCCAGCGCGGATGTTCCACCTCCAAAGATAAGGCTGAAGCCCCATCGCATAAATGACGGTCAGAACGTTTCAATTTATAAAGCAGAACTTATTGATGAAATAAACGTCCTTCAGAACAGCAGGGAGACCAACCCTGCTGCCTTTTACAACGAGGAATCCACAGACAGGGGGTTAGCTGAGATCTCTTCAGGGAGTTCGGGAGAAGACGATGACTTCAAAAGGTTTCCGCAGGGCAAAGATGGACACGATAACCTGGCTTTCCTCATGAATTACCGGAAAAGAAAAGCAGACTCTTCTAGTTTATCGGTGTGTAGTAACGACAGTCTAGATGAATCCAAGTCCTCTAGTTCAGAAGTAACATCACCAGAAATATGTGACTTTTTGCCTGGTGATGACGCGTCTGTCTCTTCATCTTCAAAAGATGAGCGTAAAATTGTGCCCCCCTTAACAGTTAGGCTGCATACCCAGAGCGTGTCTAAATGCGTCACCGAGGATGGAAGAACTGTTTCAGTGGGGGACATTGTTTGGGGTAAAATTCACGGATTTCCGTGGTGGCCGGCACGTGTTCTTGACATAAACCTTAGCCAGAAGGAAAACGGGGAACCTTCATGGCGAGAAGCGAAAGTGTCATGGTTTGGTTCTCCAACGACTTCGTTCTTATCTGTTTCAAAACTCTCTCCTTTCTCTGAGTTTTTCAAACTGAGATTTAATCGCAAGAAGAAAGGGATGTATCGGAAAGCTATCACAGAAGCTGCGAAGGCAGTAGAGCATCTGACTCCAGAAATAAGAGATCTCTTAACACAGTTTGAAACATAACTTTGTCGCCAGTATCAGGTGAGTGCTTGCTGGACTAATGCTGCCCATGGAAAAAACCTCCTTGTGTTTTTTAACCAACATTCCACTGTTTGCATTTATTTTTCCATTAAAAAAACGAGGTCGGCAGTTATTAAACTTAAAAGCCTGGGTGTGAGTTGGTGGTGGCAATTTCAGAGGTGATAAGAGCCGTTAGCTCCAAAACTTTGGGAGGGCCATGGGAACGGGAGCCCCTGGGCTCAGGGGGGGCGCACGAAGCGATTGGCACTGTGAGGAAGCAAGCCTTACTAGTGTTGTAGTAACGCGTTAGGGCTGTTTGCAGTTAGGATGTGGGGAGTATCGATGATAATTCACTTGCGATAGGACTAATCCCGTGTGGTGGGAGGACTGACAGCCTCTAGGCTGTGTTTTGAACTGCCTGGTTCAAAGAACTAGAACTTCTTGGGGTTGAGATGATGCGTACTGTACGCGGGTGCTGGTACCAAGCAGTTACCACAACAGTTACGTGCTCTTGGAGGCCCTTTGCCCCCCTTGCATTTACTGCTCCCCCGTGGTGCTTAGTTGTGAGGGAGGCTTTATCTGACTGATCAGCATGACGGCACTGCAAGCTGCCTCTGTGGGGGAATGCTGCTCGCAGCAGTTGTGTGGCCTCCTGTCTGAAATGGTGGGGACTGGCCTGGATCATCAAATGCAGCACTTCTGGTCCTCACCTGCAGCCTCTGTGAGGACAGAAAGCGGGAGCTGATTCCTTCTAACGCCTCCATAGTTTGCTGTTACTGGTTGCAGGCACAGAGTGGGATGGGACTCCTGGTCAATAAAATAAAAACTGCCCAGGGTGAAAATGTGGTGCCTGTAAAAGCAGGACGTGCTATGACTGGGAATGGGGCCACCACGCGTAACCTTAGCTGATGCTGCACACTGTGCTGCCCTCAGTGAGGTCCCCGGGGAAAATACCATCAGCTTGAGAAAGGTCCAGAATTGTTTTGTTGCCTTCCAGCTGTTGGTATCTAGATAAAGCCTCATCTGTGATACTATTAAACCAGGCAATGGAGTAACTTGTTATCTGAAAACCATAACTAATTAGGAAGAGTCTGGTTGTCAAAGCTCTAGCTTCATGTAGTGTCCTGGAGAGGGTTTTTATCAGTTCACTGTGCTGTCCATAAGCTTTTCCGTAAGTTTTCTCTCTCATGCCAGAAGGGCTGTGCACACGCCAGAGCTGCTCGTGCCATCGGCTGATTCACTGCTCTGTATGGAAGCAGGGCAGTGGGGCTGTGATGGCCAGTGCTCTCCTAATCCTGACGGGGGGGAAAGACTTTTTGTACCCTCTGCCATGGGGCTTCGCTGTTTGCTTGAAAGGGATGAAGGACTCGCTTCGATGGCGTTATTCCATCACAGCAAGATTGGCCTGAGCACGTAGTGAGAGCGTGGCACGTGCCTCTGCTGGGCTCACGGGGCTGGACAGCTGGGCACTCGGGCAAGTACGAGTGTATGACTGCAGCAGCATTTAAGCTTCATCCTTGATCCTGCCTCTTCAAATGCTGCTTAACTCCGGCTAAAGGCTTTATTTTATTGAGAGCGTTTGGACTGGGCCCAAATTCGTATTAGCCAGATCAGGAGTATAAATAAACCCGATGCCCCAAATGTGCTGTCCTTGCCAGCCAAAGAAAAATGGTCACAATCCACAGCTCCTTCCTGAACTGCGACTGGAAGGAGCAGCAGAGCTTTGTCCTCTGAGCTGACCCCGCTGGGTTTCTGCCTGCGGTGGGGCCGTGTCAGCAGGGGGATGTGGTGGCTGCTGCTGGCAGCTTTCTGCCCGGGTAGAGCTTTGCTGCTGCCATGGCACTCTGCTGGCTGCTGGGGAGGACAAGGGGCAGGGTGAGGCGGCACCTGATGCTTCAGAGCAGGTTGGCCATGCCCGTCAGTCTGTGCACAGTGGGAACCTTGGGACCTTTTTTGCTCCTTTTGGCCGCAGCCTGGAGGTTGAAATGAGGATGCTTCCCGGTGACGTGTTAGCCTAAGGCAAACACTGCCCCTTCCTGCCAGCGGGACCACCGCCGACGTGGTGCTAGCGGTGGTGCAGGATGAGAGCTGACAAGCGAGGCCCCGAGGAGGAAAGGAAGCACTTGCTCCAGAGACCCGGCTTACGGCAGGCACGGTGCTGCCTGACCTGCAGGCACAGCAGGAGGGATAGGACAGGTCTGTAAAGGGAGGGAACGAAGGTGATGTGTGAGGGAACGGTGTGCTGGGCCAGACCCTGCCTTCCCTCTGTGCTCTGCAGCCAGGCCTCCCTGTGCACGTACTGCTGTCCAGGTACATTTCATACATATTGCTGCTTCCTTGGCCTCCTTCGTGGGCTTGCTGAGCGGGGTTTTCTGCCGTGCTCGTGTCTGAGTGCCAGCCCGGTGTGCCTGCCTGGAAATCACACGGTAATTGGATAAACAACTGCGTGCACTCAGAAGAAAACTAGAAAAGCAGAACAGAGCCACTTCCCACCTCCCGCATGTGTCACGTTTACTCAGTTTTCCTGTTAGACCAGAGAGCCCGGTGTCTCAGTACGTCACTGCCTGGCAGCTCATTGTTTCGGGGCCTTGCCCTGTACCTGTGCTGTGCTGTCGGGAGGACTGAACGCTGCTGCTTCCCTCGGGTGTTCTGGGATGGAACTGAGACATTCCTACTGGCTGCTAATCGACTGTTCTTCCCTGAAGGGCGTAACTTAAGTTTTTGCTGACATTTGCAATTTCTTAGTCCCAGGACTAGGACATTGGACATTTGAGCAACAATTAAATGTTCCCAAGAGCAGGCATCTGGCTGGCACTATTGCACCTTGACACTGTAAAATCTGCTGTGCTGCCAATTCAGCAGCAGCTGTGCGAGGAGGGCCGGTCCTTGTGAGCAGACGAGGAGCAGGAGTGCAGGAAATGCATCCAGCACCTGCACTGCTCCTGGTCCTCGTGGGCATGGCAGAGCTTTGTGGCTGCTGGCACTTAGTGCATCTTCTGTCCTCCGGCACGGGGTGCTGCTCTGCAGAGTGCTTGGGATAACCACTGGGAAAATGACCAAACAATCCAGGTACATCTGTGAATGCCTATGGAACTGGAAGGGACTGGATTTTACAAACAGTGCTTGTTTGGGGTTGGAAAAGCTGGTGTGATCATTTTGTGTTTTATTATTCTGTATTTATTATTCAGCGTGCTTTATTGAAAGCCTGTCGCTAGCTGGCTGGTAAAGCAAGGTTTCCAGGAGACCAGCAGGCAGAGCAGCAGCCTGTCAAAGTCACATTCAGAAGGCACTGAATGTGTGTTTGGACTACAGCCAGCAGAAAAATGCCCACTGAGCACGTTGTCATGCTGCCCTGTAGCTTCTGCCTCGTATCTCCTGTACAGAGACCCCATGCACAGCTGCCCCAGGCCTGGCGCTGTTGGTGCTGCAGAGACACCTTCAGCTGGTGGCTGAACGTGGCTGAGCCCCTGCCTGCTGTCAGTGCTGGGAGCTGGGCTGCTCCTGGTGAGCCTTGCACCTCGCAGCCCTGCTGCGGGCTCTGGGTTTGGGGTGGCTCAGGTACAACTGGCCGGGGTGACAAGGCCGTGCTCAGCGTGCCAGCGTCCAGCTGGGACCCAGCCGTGCCGGTGTGTGCTTCCCCTGCTGCCCCGTCCCACGGGCACCTCCCCAGGGCAGCCTCCTCCTCAGGAGGGGAACGGGGCATGTGCTGCCTCCAGATCCCCGGCCTTTTTGGGGAAGGCTGCGGATGGATGCACCTCGAGGCCCCAGCACACTGCCCGGAGCGCTGCTGGTGTGTGTGGTCTCTTCTCTGGAATTGTGCAGGCATGTGGCTGAGCAAGGAGCGGGTGTGAAGCCTCCTGCAGCAGCTGAGGTGGCCTCATGGTGCCTGGGAGGCCTCCCTGAGCCGCGGCGATGCCGTTCCTCCCAAATGGTGCTGCGGGCGGTTTCGCACCTCCCCTGGCTCTTGCAGCACCCTGCCCTGTGTCGCTGTGATGCCGTCTCTGGACGTGGCTGGACTCTTCCCTAACCCGTCTGGGCTGCAGCACTCATTTCCGGAGGGGGAGCAGTCAGAAAAGCCTCCTGAGACAGGGCAGTGCTGCCTGCTGGGTGCCCGGGGCACGTTGCTCAGCAGGCCCGGCTGCAGGACCAGCGCCAGGCGCCCGTCCAGGTGTGCTTTGGTGCTCCAGCCTGGCCGTGTGCCCTGTACCTGGTGCTCTCCGCGAGCAGGAGCGCCTCCTGTGCTGCCTCCTGTGCTGCTGTTTGCTTCCTGTTCCCTTTCATGACGCTTTCTGTTCACTTTGATGATACCTCCATATTTAAACTTGCAGCTGCGTAATCATCCAGTTCCTTGAGCTCCTGGTGGCTCTTCAGTCATCCTGCGCAGTCATGCACGAACCCCAGCTCCCTTCTGGCTTTACAAGCAGCCCCGCTGCCGTAGCAATGTGCTGAGCGTGGTGGCCGGGGAGCTGCAGCGTGCTGCCCTGCAGGCGGAGGAGGAGCAGGGCCATAGAGCCGAGCTGTGCCTCCCCCCAGCTGCCCCCCAGGAAGCCCAACAGGGGCTGGGGTGCTGGGCTGCCGCGGGGGGCTTGCTCTCCGGCCCTCCCTTTCACGTTGCAAAGCTCTTCACAAAAGTCGCCTGTTGAATTTGGTACGCGCCTCTGTTGGAAACAGCTTTACAGCGTGTATCTTCGTTTGCTTTTTCAGTCTGGAAAGTCCTTTATTCTCCCCCTCCCTTCCCCCCAGCCCCCAGGCTGTGGCTGTGAAACCATTAAACTTTAAAATACCGGCTTCTTGAAGGTTTTAATTTTACTGCTATTAGCTTAATAGACCCTCGGTATCTGTGTTCAGCCATTCATCAGGCAAGGCGCAGTGCTGCGCCGTGCGGCAGAAATCACCGCCTGCTGCCCGCCTGCTATATATAGCAAGCTCTAATGCAGGAGCTGGAACGCTGGGTTGTGACTTCACCTTCAAAGATGTTCGGGGCTTTGTGTGTGCATGTAGCCAGATCTGCTTGCCAGCAG